TCTTTTGTTGAATTAGACACTCTCGTCCTTGCTAGAAGAGCATTTTAACTAAAACCAAAACCCAAAACACCCTTGTTAGAAAGGAGGACTTTGTGGACTGGGAAATCCCTTACCACTTGCCGGTACTTGTTTACATTCTCTTGAAGTGTGTTAAGTAGAAAACTGAAGATCCTTTCCATGTTCTGGGTTAATGTTTGCTGGATGTCCCTTCTCCTCTGAGGGGGAAGTGTCTGAAAGGTCACGACGTCCTCTGCCAGTCGCAGAAGGATGAACATCACTAATTCTGTCTGTGTTTCCTATATCAACAGAAGTAAGCTAGTTAAACCAAAGCCAAACGTCTTTTGTCATTACAAGCACGACCAAAGGCTATTTTCCGTTGATAAAACCACCACCATCGCCAACAACAGACAGACCCTGAAGTCACCCTAAGAGCAGGCACACTGGATTCATACCCCCTGCTTGGAGAGGGTGTCCAGCTCCATCAGCATGTCAGGCCAGTGCTGTGGCCACTCCCGCTTGATCATCTCCACTACAATTCGAGACAGAACATCTTTAATATGGTTCTCTTCTTCCAAGATGTTCAACGTTCCCTGAAAAAGAACGAGATTAAAAGGTCTGCAAAGGAAAAATACGGGTGGTAAAAAGTGTTCAAAACTCATCCATACGCCTGCTTTTAAACTAAACCGAACCAACCAACCTGTTCTTCATGTCTGAGTCATCTGTCCTGCATTCTCAGTAATCATTCTGCCCACTTACAACCTAAGTGCGGGTTACACCAGCTAATAAATGACTGCCTCAAAGAGAGCTAGAAAAACATTACTGTTCTTTTTATTTTATTGCTTTTTCCAAAATTAATTCATCTGAAAAGCACAGCAACAGAGAAAGACAGAGAACAACAGCCAGTGCTGGGTCAGGCCAAAGCCAGGAACTCCACTTAGGTCTTCCATATGGGTGGCAGTGACCCAAGTGCTTGAGCCATCACCTGCTGTCCCCTAGGGTGTGCATTAGCAGGAAACCAGATGGGAAGTAGGGGTGGGACTTGAACCCAGGCACTCTGATATGGGATACAAGCATCCCAAACAGTGGCTCATTCACTGTGCCACAACTCCTGCCCCAATACAACTGTTCTTTATAAACTGAAGAGATGCTCACATTGATTTTTTATTTCCTTTGAGGGCTAGAGTAAAAAAGGATAGAAATAAAAAGTACAGTGAAGCTAATGAAATAGAAAGCCATGGAGGAGCAGCTATTTTCCTACTGGAAGATTTAGAAAAACTATTTCTGGATATGTCTTCTTCTCAAGTCTGATCAACACTAATGAAGTATGACTTCTAGTCTCCCCAGAACTAGCAAAATAGACATCCTAGTTAGGTAAGTTAATTAATTTTGTGGGGAATTTGTTCTCCTGTTAAAGGCACTAGATTTGGGGGTTAAGAAGGACAGGAGTTCCACCTTTCATATCCATTGCAAAAGAAAAAAAGACTGTGGATTTAAAATGTTTAAAATCATATTCTGGGCCGGCACTGTGGCACAGCAGGTAAAGCCGTCGCCTGCAGTGCTGGCATCCCATATGAGCACCAGTTCAAGTCCCGGCTGTTCCACTTCCGATCCAGCTCTCTGCTATGGCCTGGGAAAGCAGAAGATGGCCCCAAGTCCTCGGGCCCCTGCACCCACATGGGAGACCTGGAAGAAGCTCTTGGCTTCAGATTGGCCCAGCTCTGGACAACTGGGGAGTGAACCAGCAGATGGAAGACCTCTCTCTATGCCTCTCCTTTTCTCTCTGTGTAACTCTTTCAAATAAATAAATAAATCTTAAAAAAAAAAAAAAAAAAGAGAGAGAGAGAGAGAAACAAGCAAAGTAGACCAGTGTTTCAATCAATTTAAATCTAAGAATCTTATTTGTTCATTTGTTGAATATGAGCATATTAAATCTCCTTTGCTCTCTCTTTACAATGTAAAAAATAGAAGTTGACACATAAGAGTGATTAATTAAACCTAGTATGAGAAATGTGATGAATTATGACTTCTTGTGAGGGCTGCTGTTTTTACCTTGCAAGCAACAGTAAACAGGATAGAAAGAATACTGTCTGATTTATGGAGGAGTGAATTTTTACACAAATGCTACATTGAAGAAGTCAGGCCTCATCTAAACTGCCTTGGAAACACAAGTCTTCCAACCACCCATTCCTTACATTTGCAATAAGCTCCATGACACTGTTCTTCAGATAGACCTTCTCCAATCGAGACATACTGTTCCACCGAAACCTGCCCATGAAAAGGAACAAAACCAATAGAATCATGTTAGAAGTCTTTTCTTCACAAGAGAATAGCTTTGATTCCCGCATTAGATTATGCTGGAGATTTCATTAGGAAATCATACTTTTTGATTTTATACTCTTCAGAGAATGGACTAAATCATCCACATTGAACCAAAATATTTACTATAGAAAAATTATTGGTTTTATACAAGCAGTGTTCATCAACTGGACTCTGCACAGGACTTGTGCCACAAACCAGCTTCCCCCATGATTTCACTGATGGACCAACAGCGAAGACACGTCCAGGACAACTCAACAGCGTAGCTGCTTTTCAGAAACTGCAAGCTCTCGTACTACGAACTCCTTTTTCTGTGCTGGCTTACAAAGTTAGAACATAATTCTAGAAAAGATGTGACTTAAGTCTTAAAAGCTGACTCTTCTGATAAATGTTGAGGGCAGGAGACTCAAATTAGGCTGGGATTTCGGTCACTCTCTCAATATCTTGCTTTGGATGCACCATTCAGAGAAGATAAAAAGGGCAGAGGGGAACACACTGCCCAATCGGAGATTCATTCACCTATATGCTGCATTAAAAAAAAGAGGACAGAGATCTGCTGGTGCACGGTAGGAGCTCTAAACGCTGGACAAACGACCAGCAACTGTGAACCAGTCTTTGCTGAATGCGTCACACGTACTACGCACTCTATGTGGATAAAGAAAGGGAAGGGAAAGATTAAGTCCTGCATGAAGCTTCCCGGAGGTCCTGGCAACGTCCTGGGGACTGCTTCTTCCTACTCACCTAAAAAGCACCTCTATAGGTTATATAAGAAAAACACGATTTGCTCCTCACAGATTTCAGAGGTAAGCTCCTTACTTGACAACGTGTTCCAGGATCTGAAGGCCAAAATGTCTGACGATGGCAATTTGTGTTTTCTCAGCCAATCTCAAGCCACAGGGAACACAGATTGGGCACTTTTCTTTAAATTCTTCACAAAACTGAAAGAAGGAAAGTTAGTGTCTCCTTTGGGAGCTAAGTGAGGGTGGAGACTAAAAACACTTCATGCTGAGAAACTCCAACCTGGGCTACATTAAGTTGCAAAACCTAGATGCATATTATACGAATAAAGAACTGATAAATGCTTCTTCCACTGTTGTCATTCCATGTTTCCCAGGCTATGGTCAACAGTGGTGGCCACACTAATGGAAAATAATTGGACTTAAAGGAGTAAAAAATTGTTTCACAACATAGACCTGAACTATCTTGGGAGTGAAATGATAAGTCCTTCCTAGGGACTTATCACAGCTGGGTTTAGGTGACAGGTGTATCCAGAAGTACTGCAGGACTCTCCACTTTTGTGTCCACTTGAAATATTTCACAAAGGAAACACAAACAGAACCCAACGGTTTGATTCTAAACCCTGTGGCACACATCTCTCTAAAGTTTCCCTCAAGCAGCACTCACTCTGCTTTATGAACTTACAGCACTCAAGTTATGTCCAGCACAAATAGCCTCTCTTCAAGGGCCACTTCCTACCACGCACCTAGACTGTCTGACAGGGGGATACTGCTCATCTAGTATTCACATCCCCGATGTATCCCCAAACTGCAACGCTGACTCAGTCCCCAGAGCCAAGCATGGTGGAGTCAAGAAAACTACTTTCAGGAAACCCAAAGCGCCCATGTGAAGATGCAAACTAAGCGGTAGAAGTTCAGCTTTGCGCGAAAGAGCTTAAGAATATCCCCGGGGCGGTGTGTGTGTGTGCGTGTGCGTGAAGGGGGGGGGGGGTTAATCCAGGAATGTCCAAAACACACATGGGAGCGCGAGGCGGTAGGGACCTAAGGAAAGGCGCTCCAGGGAGGCTGGAGGTCGGCTGGGATGGCCTGGGGAGCGAGGGTCGGCAGGGAAACGCCGAGGGCGAGGGCGGCCAACACGGAATGAAGCCGGGGCTGGGTGCGGGATCTGCACGTGCGCTAGAGGCCGGGGGGCTTGGGGGACGCGAACCAGAGCAGCCGGATGCCAAGGGATCAGGGCGCCACGAGAGCCGACCGAAGTGGGGCAGCGGGCTGGAAGGGACAGGGAGGAGGGGCGCTGAGAAGCAAGGGGCAGCTCGGGACCCCCCGGCGCGTGCCGGGCGCAGGGCAGGCGCGGCGAGCGGAGGAGGCGGGGGCTGGGAAGAGGCCGCCAGGGAAAGGAACGCGGGCCCGGGGCAGCCAGGTCCAGGGGCCGCGTGGGCAGGAGGCGGCCCGGGTGAGGGGCGGTGCTGGGGCTGCCGCGGCTCGGGGAGGGTCTCAGAGCGGGTACGGGGCGCCAGGACCCCAGCTACCTTGAGTGCTTCCAGCCGGTAACGCTGGGTGGAGCTGGGGTCCATCATGACCGTCACCGCTTTCACCAGCTCCTCGCACAGCGCGTTCACTTGATCCATCGCCATGGCTCGTGCCACGCGCCGCGACCGCGCACTACGGCCGTCCCGGGAGCACGAGGTACCGACGGCTCCCTCAGCGAGGCCACACGTTGGTACCGGGCCGCGGCGGGCTGGGGGCGGGGGACGGGAGGTGGGAGGAGGAGCGTGAGCAGCAGAATGCTCCAGCCGGGAAAGACCCGGCGCTGCGCACGCGCCCGACCCTCCACTGCGCACGCGCCCACGGAAGTGGCGGCTCCCTTATGACGGTTGCTACTGGGTGGGCGGAGCGGGAGGCGGAAGGGCTGCACCGCGCAGGCGCGTCAACGGCCCTCCGCGGCGCGCGCGCTGTCCGACCTCAGTCGAGAGGGCTCGCTGCTGAGCGCTTAGCGCTTGGCCCGTCCTACTCGGGCAGAGCGGCCGGTTTGCCCAGAAAGGTTGCTTTGCCACTCCTGCTCTGTTTCTCTGTCGTCACAGGGAATAAATCTCTCCGGAGACTCATTGGCCCGCTCCCAGAAAGGCGACAAGATACCCAGGATCCCTTCGTTTCCCTTCGAGTGGGCGCGGAGCCCGGTGTCCTCGGTAAGAAAATTTAGACCGCTGAGTAGCGTTCAGGGTTTGCATCTTGTCTTAGCTGTTGGTTTTATGATATAGCAGTGAGTGGCGAGCCGACGGGACGTGAAACGAGGAGCTAATGACTGGTGTTGTCCCATAAGATAATGCTGTTTTTCCCCGGTTGCTCGTAAGCCGCCCTCTTCGCTTGTACTTATTTTAACTGGAATGTGCTGTTGTCTGTCTGGCACCAAACGTGCTTTGTGGGAGTTGGGATAAATCAAGATATTTAAAGATGAATAGAACTGCAGTGGTTGAAGATTTGTGCAGTTTTGATACTTTACCAACTGCTGCAGATGAGACTTCAAAGTCGTGTGGTCGTTTTCCGAACGCAGGGTTTGGGCAGGAAGTGTGTTTCATTTTCCATGTTTTATAAAGCTGTTGCTTTCTCCGGTCATTACGTAAACTGGAAACCTTAGCCGCTTCGTTGTCTCTTGAAGTCGGCATATCTGGCTTTGTGATTATGGCCTCAGTTAAATGTTTGGTGGACCTAAAATCACTGCTTATTATCTAATACGGTTCTTACTTCGTGTTTTTTGTGGCAATGCTGGTTTACTATTTTCTGGCTTTATCTGTTCCAATACAATAGAAAAGTCCCTCTAAGATAAAGGGATTTCAGCCGTGTTATAGGTTAAATTATCACGTTCTGCCTGTTTTAAGTGGATTGTCAATTGGAATTTTTAAGAAGTTAATGCCTTGACTATTCTGATGTTCTTCTTTTTTTTTTCTCCACTGTTTTGCTGGTTATGTAGTTGCAGGAGAGTTTTTGCAAGGTGAATGTTGATTTTTGAAAAACTTTTTTTAGAATACAGTTGGGTGCTCACTCAACTGTATAACCTGTGTTTCTTGTATTTAAATCGTAAATTACTGATGTTGCCATAAATATCTCATTAACTGTAGGTCAGTGGTTCCCAAACTCTGCTGCTGATTGAAGTTGCTCAGGCACCTTTTAGAAATCATAATGCCCAGGTCACACTCAGCACCAGTTACATTAGGATGTCTGGTGGTGGAAGCCAGATATCGATGCTGTTTAAAGCTAGTTCCCATCTCCAGCCAAGTTTAGGAGCCACTGCCTTATATTCCTTCTTCCAGATTACCGACGGTGTGAGTGATGGAATTAGCATCCATTCTGATGCAGGTAGAGTTTGTTCTCCCAGTCTACTGGTCATACCTTGGTGTGTGTCTTTCGTGTTCTGGTTTACATGAATGGGCATGAAATCACTGTGAGAACACTACAACGCAGTTGTCACGGGCAGGTTCCACGGTTGGCTGCCTAGTGATTCAAAATTTGAAGAGAAACAGGATATTTGCATATTCTCAAGGTATCCTTTCCCAAGATGTGTATTAGTTACAAAAAGAAAAACAGTAGCTTTGCAGCGGGAAACCTGGCCAATACCATATTAACTTTCATGGTTAACATAATCAGTGATGAGATGCTGATATTATGTACCCTTCCTTCCATATGATACATTGAGAAGCACCCATCGCTTCTATTGCTGTTCTTGGCAGAGATGCATCTCTTCATGAGAAAACATCAGATAAGCCCAAATTGAGAGTTTTTATTTTATTTTTTTATTTTTATTTTTTTTTACAGGCAGAGTGGACAATGAGAGAGAAAGAGAGACAGAGAGAAAGGTCTTCCTTTACTGTTGGTTCACCCTCCAATGGCTGCTGAGGCAGGCGCACCGTGTCGATCCAAAGCCAGGAGCCAGGTGCTTCCTCTGGTCTCCCATGTGGGTGCAGGGCCCAAGCACTTGGGCCATCCTCCACTGCACTCCCGGGCCACAGCAGAGAGCTGGCCTGGAAGCAGAGCAACCAGGACAGAATCCGGCACCCTGACCGGGACTAGAACCCGGTGTGCTGGTGCCCAAGGCGGAGGATTAGCCTATTGAGTCATGGCGCCGGCCTGAGAGTTTTTTTTTTTTAAAGATTTATTTGATAAAGTTATATAGAGAGAGGGAGAAGAGAGACAGCGAGAGGGAGAGGTCTTCCAACATCTGCCGGTTCACTCCCCCAAATGGCCACAAAGGCCAGGGAGGGGCCCAAGTACTTGGGCCATCTTCCACTGCTTTCCCAGGTGTAGTATCGGATCTGAGACTTGAACCAGTGCTGACATGGGATACTGGCCTTGCAGGCAGCAGCTTAACCCTCTGCTCTATAGTGCCAGCCCAGAGAGACATTCTTTTTTTAAGATTTATTTATTTGGAAGAGTTACACAGAGAGAGAAGGAGCAGCAGCAGAGAGAGACGTGTCTCCTACGTGGGTGCAGGGCACAAGGACTTGGGCCATCTTCTGCTGCTTTTCCCAGGCCATTATTAGGTAGCTGGATCGGAAGTAGAGCAGCCAAGACTCGAACTGGTGCCAATATGGAATGCCAGTGTCTTAGGCAGTGGCTTTACTTGCTATACTATAATGCCAGTCTTCGAAAAGTTTAAATTAAAAATATTTATTTATTTAAAAGGTAGAGTGACAGAGATAGATCTTTCTATCATTTGCTCACTCTCTAAATACCTACAGCAGCTAGGGCAGCAGCAGAGTGGTATCCTTAATTGTGTTTGGAATCAGAAAAAGGACATTAGTTGGAAAAAAAATCACTGAAATCCAAATAAAATATGTAGTTGAGTTAATAAAAGGAGTCTTCAAAAAGTTCTGAGAAAATGTGCATTATCTTTTAATTACATTTTTCCCCGAACTTTTTGAAGTACCCTGGTATTATACCAATATTCACTGTTTGATTTTGATAACTGTGCTAATAAATGTTAACATTAGGGGAAACTGAGTATGTAGAAACCCTACTATTTTTATTTTTGCGGTTTACTGTTATTTTAAAAGAATTTCAAAATACAAAGAAGATCTCCATGAATGCTGTGATGTTAAAAATCATTTTCTGCTTCTTTTCCCTGAACTTACACTTGAGAGCTGTCAATCAACTGTATTAACTGTTACTTTCTCCCTAGTGATTTTGCATTGTGGTTATAATTTGCATTTCCTATGACTAGTGATGTTGAACTCAATTTCATGAGAATATTGGTTGTGTGTGTGTGTTTTTTTTTTTTTTTAAAGAGAGGGAAAGACAGAGATCTTACATCTGCTAGTTCACTCCCCATATGGCTTCAACGGCCATGACTGGGCCAGATGGAAGCCAGGAGCTTCTTGTGGGTTTCCCAGGTGGGTGGCAGGGGCCCAAACACTTGGGCCATCTTCCACTGCTTTCCCAGGCTATTAGGGAGCTGGATCAAAAGTGGAGCAGCCAGGACACGGACCAGTGCCCATATGGATGCTGGTATCCCAGACAGTGGCTTTATTCTCTATGCCACAACACCCACCCCTTGGCTATTTATTTTCTTTTGCGAAGTGTATAGTTCTTGAGGGAATGAAAACTGTTTTGCTGTTTTATAAACATTTATTTTATTTATTTGAAAAGCAGAGTTACAGAGAAAGAGGGAGAGACAGATCTTCCATCCACCAGCTTACTCCCCAAATGGCTGCAATCGCTGGAGTTGAGCCAGGCCAAAGCCAGGAGCCAGGAGCGTCATCTAGGTCTCCCACATAGGTGCAGGGACCCAAGCACTTGGGCCGTTCTCTGCTGCTTTCTCAGGCCATTAGCAGGGAGCTGATCAGAAGTGGAGCAACCAGAACACCAATAGGCACCCATATGGGATGCCAGCATTGAAGGAGATGGTTTAACTGGCTACACAATGCCAGCTCCAGATGAATGTTTTCTTTCTTTCTTTTTTTTTTTTTTTTTTTGACAGGCAGAGTGGACAGTGAGAGAGACAGACAGATAGAAAGATCTTCCTTTGCCGTTGGTTCACCCTCCAATGGCTGCCGCGGCCGGCGCGCTGCGGCCGGCACACCGCGCTGATCCGATGGCAGGAGCCAGGTACTTATCCTGGTCTCCCATGTGGGTGCAGGGCCCAAGCACCTGGGCCATCCTCCACTGCACTCTCTGGCCACAGCAGAGAGCTGGCCTGGAAGAGGGGCAACCGGGACAGAATCCGGCTCCCCGACCGGGACTAGAACCCAGTATGCCGGTGCCGCAAGGTGGAGGATTAGCCTAGTGAGCCGCGTGCCGGCTGATGGATGTTTTCAAAACTTGTACCAATTTATTCTCATGCCAGTCATCCGTGAAAGAACAGAAATATGGTTTTCCAAGGTACTTTGGGTTAGGTACCTTTCTAACTGTCCATGAATAATGTCTTACAGGAAAATGTCTACTGGACAAGATCGAGTGGTGGTTCTGGTGGACATGGACTGTTTTTTTGTTCAAGTGGAACAGCGGGAAAATCCTCATTTGAGGAATAAACCTTGTGCAGTTGTGCAATACAAATCATGGAAAGGTGGTGGGTATGTATCATTTTAACTGTTTAACTTTTTTTTTTTTTTTTTTTTAAGATTTATTTATTGGGGGCTGGCACTGTGGCATAGCGGGTAAAGCTGCTGCGTGCTGTGCCGGCATCCCATATGGACGCCAGTTTGAGTCACGGTTGCTCCACTTCCGATCCAGCTCTCTGTTATGGCCTGGGAAAGCAGTAGAAGATGGCCCAAGTCCTTGGGCGCCTATACCATGTGGGAGACCCAGAAGAAGCTCCTGGCTGCTGGCTTCAGATCAACTCAACTCTGGCCATTGCAGCCAATGGGGAGTGAAAAGATGTTTATTTATTTGAAGGGCAAAGTTAGAGATAGTGACACAGAATCCTCCATCTGCTGATGCACTCCCCACATGGCTGCAACAGCTGGAGGTAGGCCAAGCAAAGGCAGGACAGCCTGGAACTCCTTCTGAGTCTCCCACATGGCAGGCAGGGGCCCAAACACTTGGGCCTTCTGCTGCTGCTTTTCCCAGGCACGTCAGCACCAAGCTGGATTGGAAGTGGAGCATCTGGGACTCGAACCAGCAGCACTCATATGGGATGCCTGTGTTGCATGGTAACTTAACCTGCTGTGCCACAGTGCCAGGGCTCATTATAATTGTTAACTGTTGTTTTCATCTATGGGAATACAGTGCTGCTGTGCTGGGTCCTGTTTTTGAGATTTTGGAACTGCTGTTGGCATCTGTGGTCAAGAAATGCCTAATGTTACATGCCAATATGCTACTCATGTTTGTGGCTATTAGTTATAGCCTATTAATTGTTCTTGCTTGTGTTCATGTAATGTTTTTCTGTTCCCTCTGTTTTTCTAACCTTAGAATAATTGCAGTGAGTTATGAAGCTCGAGCGTTTGGGGTCACTAGAAGTATGTGGGCAGATGATGCAAAGAAGTTATGCCCAGATCTTCTTCTGGCACAAGTTCGTGAGTCCCATGGGAAAGCCAACCTCACCAAGTAAGAAAAAGCATCTTAAAGTTGAGAGAACATAGAGGAATTGGAAATAATATTCTGTGTTTCAAATTTGTTTTGTGTAAATAATATCTGAAAAAGTTACCTTTTGTTTGCCATCCTATCTATGAAATGAAAACAGACTTTGATATTGTTTCAGGAATAGTATAGGATCATTATAACCTGCAACCTGCCGCCTTTGATACCCATTCAATTCCCTAACTGTTTAAAAATGGGCTGTTAAAACCTAGTATCAGTTCCCATGTTATCATTCCAAAAGTCAAAAATGTTGAAAGTAAATAAATCGATTGGAACTAAGAGCTTTTTTAGGAAAGACTGAGTCAAACTGACATTTTAATGTGATATCTACAAATTTGCTAGAATTGAATAAGCTCAGCGGAAAAAAAAATTTCTTATTTTTGAATTGAATTATCTCTCCTGACATTTTAGAAGTTTAGTCTTGGAGGCCGGCGCCGGGGCTCATTAGGCTAATCCTCCGCCTAGCGGCGCCGGCACACCGGGTTCTAGTCCCGGTCAGGGCGCCGGATTCTGTCCCGGTTGCCCCTCTTCCAGGCCAGCTCTCTGCTGTGGCCCGGGAGTGCAGTGGAGGATGGCCCAGCTGCTTGGGCCCTGCACCCCATGGGAGACCAGGAAAAGCACCTGGCTCCTGGCTCCTGCCATCGGATCGGCGCGGTGTGCCAGCCGCAGTGCGCCGGCCGCGGCGGCCATTGGAGGGTGAACCAACGGCAAAAGGAAGACCTTTCTCTCTGTCTCTCTCTTCCACTCTGCCTGCTACAACATACAAAAAAAAGAAGTTTAGTCTTGGAAACATTTATCAGCATAGCTAGTCATGGGTAGGTACAAGCCCTAACACTTAGGTATTGGGCATATATCATAAATCAGGCACTGCGTTAAACTCTGTGTGGGCAATATCTCTTTTAAATTCATGTTGTTATGAGATAGGTACTAGCGTAAGCCCCCTTCATAAATGAATCAAGTTTATAGAAGTTAAGAAATTTAAATTTACATGGCTAAGTAGAAGACCGAGTATTCACACCAATTTTTTGAGATTCTAATATCCATTTTCATATAGTATGGTATATTGTATTTTGTGGTGTTTTGTAGGGATCATGCTAAGGCTTGGGACTTGAGCTGTTTCATGAATTACAAGTCTTTAAGTAGAGTAGGATAACCAACCCCACATTGGAGTTAATGCCAAAAAAGAAGATTCAACTGGAGATTAATAAGCTTAACCCCCAAAACAGAATTAACTCAGCTAATGACATATGTTGCATGGCATTGAATAGAATTTTATACTATTATAGATAGTATAACTCCCCTGAAATATATATTGTTGACTTCAAAGTATGATGCAGAAAAATCATACTCCGCCAACTTTAAACTTTAAAATCTTCATCAAGTAATAGTGGATTTAAAAAAAAAAAGATTTATTTATTTATTTGAAAGTTTGAGTTACACAGAGAGAAAAGGAGAGACAGAGAGAGAGAGAAGAGTCTTCCATCCATTGGTCACTCCCCAGTTGGCTGCAACGGCCAGAGCTGGTCCAATCTGAAGCCAGGAGCCAGGAGCTTCTTCTGGGTCTCCCACATGGTGCAGGGGCCCAAGGACTTAGGCCATCTTCTGCTATTTTCCCAGGCCATAACAGAGAGTTGGATTGGAAGTAGAGCAGCCGGGACTTGAACTGGTGCCCACATGGGATGCCAACACTGCAGGCGGCCTCTTTACCCGCTACGCACAAGTGCCGGCCCCAGTAACAGAGGATTTAAAAAAAAAAATCTGGGATAAGTATATAGACCAGAGAGTTAATAAGATTTAGCAGTTTTTAATTAGCAATAATTGAGATAGTTTTAAAATACTATTTGCAGAAACATACACATTAAATATTGTATTTAAGATTTTTCTAATTTTCTTTTTTTTTAAAGATTTATTTTACTTATTTGAAAGGCAGAGTTACAGAGAGGTACAGGAACAGAGAGAGAGAGAGAGAGAGAGAGAGGTCTTCCATTCACTGGTTCACTCCCCAAATGGCCGCAAAGGCCGGAGCTGAGCCGATTGGGAGCTAGGAGCTGCTTCTGGGTCTTCCATGTGGGTGCTGGGGCCCAAGTGCTTGGACTATCTTCTACTGCTTTCTCAGGCCATAGCAGAGAGCTGGATTGGAAGTGGAACAGCTGGGACTCAAAGTGGTACCCATATGGGATGCTGGCTCTGCACTCAGCAGCTTAAACTACTATGCCATAGCACCAGCCCCAGATTTTTCTAATTTTATTAAAAGTACCTTGGTGTAATTTGCGTAAGAGACTGAAGAAGCACTCAAATGTTACAGTAGAGTATCCTATTCTGGCTCTGTGTGTGTGAGTAGATTGCTCTCTTTTATTCTTTGAAGCCCTGTGCTCTTTGTAGTTAAAGTAATGACTAAAAAGAAGAAAGAGGCTGGCGCCGCGGCTCACTAGGCTAATCCTCCGCCTTGCGGCGCCGGCACACCGGGTTCTAGTCCCGGTCGGGGCGCCAGATTCTGTCCCGGTTGCCCCTCTTCCAGGCCAGCCCTCTGCTGTGGCCAGGGAGTGCAGTGGAGGATGGCCCAGCTGCTTGGGCCCTGCACCCCATGGGAGACCAGGAAAAGCACCTGGCTCCTGGCTCCTGCCATCGGATCAGCGCAGTGCGCCGGCCGCAGCGCGCCGGCCGCGGCGGCCATCGGAGGGTGAACCAACGGCAAAAGGAAGACCTTTCTCTCTGTCTCTCTCTCTCTCACTGTCCACTCTGCCTGTCAAAAAAAAAAAAAAAAAAAAAAAGAAGAAGAAGAAGAAAGTAAACACTTCTCTAATTCTGTCTTGAGAATGTTTAGGAACAATAATTGCACTAGTTTTTCTCAGTGTCTTAGTAGAGGTACAAATATTTTCATTTTTCTGGTAAGTATATTCAGTAGGAATAAAGAACTTTAAAATACATACCAGGTTCAGACTCAAGCAAAGCAAATATCTACATAATGTCGTGGAAAGGTAGTTTTAAAGCCAGAGGAGTGAGTTACTATAGTTTGAATAGAAGGTGTGTGGAGATTGGTGTGCCTGAAGGTTGTCTGTCTGCCTAGAATGCGTCATCACATTGTAGGTGCCTGTTCTCAGCCTGACCATTTGTGTTATCTTCAGTGTGATCATTTGAATTTAGTGGATCTAGAAGTGACTGGTTGGGGTAAGTGTATGTGTATGTATGTTGATGACCTGTCCACATGTTAACGAAACTCACCATTCAAGTATAAAGCCCATATGTCAGTTTTTTATTTATAGTGAAAAATACTGTTCTGAGGAAGGCCAGATAGACTCTGGCTCACTGGTCAGTGCAGAGTTTCTTGTAACTTACCTGTTATTTGCAGACAGAATTAGAAGACTGAATGATAAATATATGAAAATAACAAAAAGGGATTAGGTGATCATAATACAGTGTTTTCCAGTTAGTCTAGTTCAAGGGATTCATTTCCTCTTGAGAAAAATACTTGCCATGGGGCTGGCGATGTGGTGAAGCAGGTTAAGCTGCTGCCTGGAGCTCCAGCATCCTATTTGGGTGCCAGTTCATGTCCTGGCTGTTCCTCTTCCGATCCAGCTCTCTGCTTATGGCTTTGGAAAGCAGTGGAAGATGGCTTAACTGCTTGGGCCTCTGCACCCACATAGGAAACCTGAATGAAGCTCCTAATCCTGGCTTTGGCCTGTCCTAGACCTTTGGTGCCCATTTGGGGAGTGAACCAGGAGATGGGAGATCTCTCTCTCTCTCTCTCGCTCTTGCTCTCTGTATGTGTGTGTGTGTAAGTGTGTATGTATGTATGTATGTGTGAGTGAGCCTCTCCCTCTCCATAACTCTGACTTTCAAATAAATAAACAAGTATATTTTAAGAAGAAAAGTTCTTGTCATATAGATAAGTCCATGGACTGAATGTGTTCTGCCTCGGTAGTGCCAGCCTTATGTTTGCCTCTGTGGTTCTTCCTTTCTTTGCTCTATCGCTGACCATTTATTTACCTGCTCACTGACCCCTTCTGTTGGGTTACTAGCTAGTCTCTGAAGCTGCTTATCTTTTCATTATGTTTATTGTTCATTATGGGAGGGAGAATGGGGACCAGCAGTCACAAGGTTGCTTACTTTGTTTGCTTACATATGTGATTCTCAAACTTAGGTATCGAGAAGCCAGTGTTGAAGTGATGGAGGTAATGTCTCGTTTTGCTGGGATCGAACGTGCCAGCATTGATGAGGCTTTTCTAGATCTGACTGATGCTGTGGAAGAGAGACTGCAGAAACTACAAGGTCAGCCTATCTCAGCAGACTTGTTGCCAAGTACTTACATTGAAGGGTTGCCTCAAGGCTCTACAACAGCAGAAGAGACTGTTCAGAAAGGTACTTCCATAGCATCATATTCTTCTGCTTCCTGCCCTTGGAACATGCTTTGCTCGATCATTCTGCTGCTGCTTGGAATGATTGAAAGGAAACTTAAACTACAGACTGAGTGAATCGCAAGGACTCACATGGAAGGATATGCAAATTCTCTTATCTTTCCAGGTATATGGATATTGAGAAGCTGTGAAATCTGAATGAAAGTAAATTTTTCTTTAGATAAGACTAGAGCAGGTGAGTATTTGCAATAGAAGGCAGAAGATTGAGGGCTCCAGTCATTCACAGGTTAATTTACATAATCAGAACTTGGTTTCTTAATCTGTAAGAGGAGTTATCTTTTTTAAGGAAGAGCCTCAGGTCATTCAGAATTTCTGTCAGTTCATAGCACATTATGCATAATAGGCTGTACAAATCCTGGTGTATCTAGTATGTCTTTTTAGTTATGTCTGTATCATTTATACAGTATTATTTTGAGTATGTGCTTTTTAAAAAATGCAAGATGATTATGTTATAGGTCTCATTCTTTTTTTTTTAATTTTTTTCCAATGGCTATTCTAGAAGTCTGTCGTATGGCTGTATTTAGATATAATTGATATCATGTACCTGCAATGTAATCCATGGTATAGATGCACTGTGTTTGCAGACCATTTTCCATAGTGATGAACTCACTGGTCGCTCCTGACACCCTACTGTGTATATTATGGGTGTCCTTACTCCTCCATCCCATGGGTGGATGTCTTTGAGAAATATTTTCAGGGGTCAACTGCTATGTCGTAGGGTAAACACACGTACTTGGTTCACCAAGTACTGCTGAATTGCTCCTCAGAGCAACACTGTAACAGTTCACATACCCACAGCATTACACCAGAGTTCCTGTTTTCCCCTCATGTATTTTACCTCCACCTAGTATCATGTAATGTTTAAAAATATTTGCCAATGTGGTAGCTTATTTTTTGATTCACAAGAATTCCTTGTATATCACAGTTTCTAGTCCCTTGTGTGTTTTTGACATTTCAAATAGCTTCTTTCAAGTCTGTTATCTATATGTTAACTTTGTTAAACAAAGATTCTGACTTTTAGACCATCAGTGTTTCACCATGGCATTTTGAATCTTGCCTATGAAATCTGTTTCTATGAGAAATTTGCAAAGCTGTTTTTCCTACATTTTCTTCTGTTTGCTTTAGCATTTATTTTTAGAACTTTCAATGATATGGAGTTGTTTTTTGTTGTACTTAGTTTAGGGAGCCACTTTAATTCTTACAATGAGCCAGTTTTCCCAGTATTTATTTATTACATGATCACTTCTTTCTTCAACCTCCCATATCTTAAAAAAAATAAAAATATTCATTTGAAAGGGTTAAAAGGAGAGAGAGGGAGAGATCCTCCACCCACCAGTTCAATCCCAAATGACCGCCATGCCAGGAACCTGGAATTCCATCTGGTTTTCCTGTGTGGATTTCAGGCCCAAGCACTCAGGGCACCATCCACTGCTTTCCCAGATACATTAGCGTGGACCTGGATTCAAAATGGAACAACTGGAATTTGAACAGGCGCCTATATGGGACACTAGTTATTTTGAGTAGTGTGTAGTGATATCACATTGTGGTTTGAATTTTCATGTCCCTGGTGTTAATGAAGTTGAGTATACTTTTATGTTTGTTAATCAGTTGATATCTTTAACATCAAGTGCCTGTTCAAATCTTTGGTTCATTTTGTTGTTGTTAGATTGTCTTGATTCCTTTTATTTATTTATTTTTTATTTATTTATTTTTTATTTATTTTTTTGACAGGCAGAGTGGACAGTGAGAGAGAGAGACAGAGAGAAAGGTCTTCCTTTGCCGTTGGTTCACCCTCCAATGGCCGCCGCGGCCGGCGTGCTGCGGCCGGCGCACCGTGCTGATCCGATGGCAGGAGCCAGGTACTTCTCCTGGTCTCCCATGGGGTGCAGGTCCCAAGCACTTGGGCCATCCTCCACTGCACTCCTGGGCCACAGCAGAGAGCTGGCCTGGAAGAGGGGCAACCAGGACAGAATCTGGGGCCCCGACCGGGACTAGAACCCGGTGTGCCGGCGCCGCAAGGCAGAGGATTAGCCTATTGAGCCATGGCGCCAGCCATATTTTTTTATATATTTTTTAAAGACTATTTGAGAAGTAGAGAGTTACAGAAAGAGGGAGAGACAGAAAGGTCTTCCATCCGCTGGTTCACTCTCCAAATGGCTACAACACCCGGAGCTGAACCAGTTCAACGCCAGGATCCAGGAGCCCTCTTCCAGGTCTCCTACACAGGTATAGGGGCTCAAGCACTTGGACTATGCTCCACTGCTTTCTCAGGCTATAGCAGAGTGCTAGGTTGGAAGAGGAGCAGCTGGGACTTGAACCCAGCACCCAGCTGCTGAACAGAGATTCTTAATTTGGTCCAATTTGTCCGTCTCTCTCCCCAACCTTCATAGATACTTTTTATGTCCTGTTCAAGAAATCTTTCTTTACCTAAAGATCAAGAAGATACTCTGTTTTATTCTAGAAGCATGCCTTTCACATTTAGAAATATGATCCTGTGAAGGAGGTGGAAGTGGGTGTGGTAAACAGAGATTAAGTTTACTTTTATAAATTATATAATGAATATCCAACTATTATGTCTTTATGAAAGCTGTGTTTTTTTCTATAAAGATCTTGTGCATTTTTTAAATTCATAGGTATTTTAAATTTTTGTTGCAATAGTGACTTATTTTTATATTTTTATTGATGTATAGGGGAATGAATTTTTTGTTAAGTTCATCTTTACTGTAAAAAATGTTAATCTGTATGAAGTACTTTAATAAATAAAATGCTTGAAGATTAAAAATTTTCTTAAATTAATACAGTAAGAGCTTGCTTTTGTGATAACATTAGGTTATGATAGTTGTAGGTACCAGATCTAAGGTAATTTTCATAAGAATAGGGTCTTCCTTTTTTTAAAATGGAAAAATCTGAAAGTTGAATTCAATCAGATTTCAAAACAATGAATTTTGCATCTGGAGGCTTTGAACAGAGTATCTACATCTTTTTCTTAGCTACTTACAAATGGCTGTCTTCAGGAACAGTGTATCTATTCACCCCTTTATTTGTAGCAAATAAATGTGAACTGCTTTGTAACAGTCTTCTTACATTTGTGAGAACTCTTTCAGTAAAAACTTTTGAAATGTAAACATTTAGCAAAAGGAAACTTCTTGACACACATCTGTAACAAGTTAACTTCTAGAGTGACTTGTAGGGCAATCTGATATTATTTGAACAGTAAAAATTTGTCCAGAAAAAGCTCCAAGAGAGAAAATAAGATGCACGATGTACAGTTTCTTTTGGCTATTGAACACTTGTATGCTGTACCACTAACATGGTATATGGAAAGTTTGCTGTAGCACTGCCCAGGGAAGCTTGTGATTTAAGGACAAGGCGGAATTATTTTATTCCGTGATCCTGAGATAGCAATTAGTCAAGAGGAAAATATGTGGAAAATATAATAGTAAAAATGTGCCACTTATGAAAAAAGTGCAAAGTTATGGTAAATTACATTTGATAATGAAAAATACCAAATTTTTCATTGTTATTCTGGGATCAGAGTCAGAAATTTAATTATAAGAAAGGTTTTCTGGCCGGCGCCATGGCTTACTAGGGTAATCCTCCACCTGTGGCGCCGGGACCCTGGGTTCTAGTCACGGTTGGGGCGCCAGATTCTTTCCTGATTGCTCCTCTTTCAGTCCAGCTCTCTGCTGTGGCCCGGGAGTGCAGTGGAGGATGGCCCAAGTGCTTGGCCCTGCACCCCATGGGAGACCAGGAGAAGCACCTGGCTCCTGCCATCGGATCAGCGCGGTGCGCCGGCTGCAGCGCGCAGGCTGCGGCGGCCATTGGAGGGTGAACCAACGGCAAAGGAAGACCTTTCTCTCTGTCTCTCTCTCTCACTGTCCACTCTGCCTGTCAAAATAAAAAAAAATTGTTTATTTGAAAGAGTTACAGAGAGAGAGAGAGAGAGATCTTCCATCTACTTGTTCATGCCCCAAATGGCTGAAATGACTGGAGCTGCGCTAATCTGAGGCAAGAAGCCAGGAGCTTCTTCCGGGCCTCCCATGTGGGTGCAGGGACCCAAGGACTTGGGCCATCCTCTGCTGCTTTCTTAGGAGCTGGATCAGAAGTGGAGCAGCTGGGACTTGAACCAGCCCCCAGGTGGAATGCATCTATCACAGGAGTGGCTTTCCCCACTATGCCACAGTGCTGGCCCCCAGAAAACTGTCTTTCAGGTGACAGAACCATGTTTGTAGGAAATCCTGCGGGATCTACTAAAGAAATAAAAAACTAGAGTAAGTTTTTAGGAAGGTTGCAAGGAATGAGGTTAATATGTTAAAATCTATGATATTTAGGCCGGCGCCGCAGCTCACTAGGCTAATCCTCCGCCTAGCGGCGCCGGCACACCAGGTTCTAGTCCCGGTCGGGGTGCCGGATTCTGTCCCGGTTGCCCCTCTTCCAGGCCAGCCCTCTGCTGTGGCCCAGGAGTGCAGTGGAGGATGGCCCAGCTGCTTGGGCCCTGCACCCCATGGGAGACCAGGAAAAGCACCTGGCTCCTGGCTCCTGCCATCGGATCAGCGCGGCGCGCCGGCCGCGGCGGCCATTGGAGGGTGAACCAACGGCAAAAGGAAGACCTTTCTCTCTGTCTCTCTCTCTCACTGTCCACTCTGCCTGTCAAAAAAAAAAAAAAAAAAAAATCTATGATATTTGGGGGCCGGTGCTGTAGCGTAGCAGGTAAAGTCCGCTGCCTGTAGCGCCAGCATCCCATCTGAGCTCCAGTTCAAGTCCCGGCTACTGATCTTCCTAACCAGCTCTATGCTGTGGCCTACAGAAGCAGCGGAAGATGGCCCCAGTGCTTGGGTCCCTGCATCTACGTGGAGACCTGGAAGAGGCTCCTAGCTTCTGATTGGCCCAGCTCCAGCTGCTGCGGCCATTTGAAGAGTGAACCAACAGATGGAAGACCTTTGTGTCTCCCTCTCTCTAATGCTACCTCTCAAATAAATAATTTTTAAAAAGTCTCTGATATTTCTATACACTGAAATGAAAAAAGAAATAGAAATTTAAAAATCAATATGTAGCATTAAAATAATGAAATTATTAGAGGTAGATTTAATGTATGTGAAAACTAGTACAAGAAAAAAAATGTAAAGTGGAAATTAAGATGAGTAAGTCAATAGAGATGTGTGGACCATACTCATAATCAAAAGACTAAATATTATTAGAAGGGCAAAGTGTTTGGCCTAGTAGTTAAGATGCCTGGGTTTGAGTCCCAACTCTAGCATTTGATTACAGTTTCCTGCTGATATAGAGACTTGGGATAAGTGGTGATGGCTCAGGTGGTTGGGTTCCTGGCTCCCAGTGTCAGCCCTGGACCCTAACCAGTGTTGTTGCAGCCATTTTAGAGTGAACCAACAGTTGGAAGCATTCTCTCATTCATTCATTTTCTTTCTCTGCCTGTCATAATTAAAAAATGTCAGTTCCTCTAATTATATTTTAAGCAATTCAACTAAAACCAGCCTCTAGAAATATATAAATACTAATTTAAGTTTATGTTGAACCTTGAGTTAATTTTTAACATGTTCTAATTGGATAATTGGTAGGAAGAAAATTTGAGAAAAACTGGGGAGAGAAAACATACTTTTTAAAAAAATCATTGCTCAGGGTCAGCACTGTGGCGTAGAGGGTAAAGCCGCCACCTGCAGTGCCAGCATCCCATATGGGCACCGATTTGAGTCCTGGCTGCTTCACTTCTGATCCAGCTCTCTGCTATGGCCTGGGAAAGCAGTAGGGGATGGCCCAAGTCCTTGGGAGCCTGCACCTCCATGGGAGACCCGGAAGAAGCTCCTGGCTCCTGGCTTTCGATAGGTGCAGCTTCAGCCATTGCTGCCAATGGGAGTGAACCAGCAGATGGAAGACCTCTCACTCTTCTTGCTCTCTCTCTCTCTGTCTTTGTCTCTGCCTCTGTAACTCTGCCTTTCAAATAAATTAAACAAACAAAAAAAATCATTGCTCATAAAAGATGATAATAATGCAAATATTTGTTGAGCGATTAACATTATAAGACTCAGTCTATTGCTGTAGCTAAGGTTGCCAGAATTTGCATAAGGAGAAATTGACCTCTTATAATTGGTCCTCTAAACTTGCCATTGTTTTTTTAAAACCCTACGTGTCTAAAGTACCTGAAATCTAAGCATTTCTACATTATATAACAAGTACCACCACTTGTCACTTAACAATAGGGATATGTTGTGAAAAATGCACTGTTGGGTGATTTGGTGGTTGTGTGACCCTCACAGCTTGTACCTAGGTTTCTGCTGCACACCTTGGCCATGTGGTGAATGCTGTGAAGTATGTAGTCTGTCCTTAACCACAATGTTTTGTGGTGTATCACTGTAAATACCCGGTTTTTCAAAATTTCTAAATGTGACTTCCTGATTTTTTTTTTTTTTCAGAGGAGATGCGAAAACAAGGCTTACTCCAGTGGCTCGGGTCTCTGGAAATTGAAGGCACAGCCTCTCCAGATGTGCGGCTCACCATGGGGGCTGTGATTGTGGAGGAGATGAGGGCGGCCATAGAGAGGAAGACTGGCTTGCAGTGTTCAGCTGGAATCTCACACAATAAGGTGAATCATAGCCCATTTCAGAGAGAAGCATTAGTCAGTGAAACACAGGCAGGATAGATAAGGGACACTGAAATTATTACAGTCATACTTTGATGTGGGTTATTTAAAATTCGTGTTGGACTCAATGAAAGCATAAGTAATTCTTTCATGTGGGAATTGACATTGACTAGGGTACTTTTTTTTTTTCTTTTTTTAGGATTTATTTGTTTATTTAAAAGTCAGAGTTACACACAGAGAGAAGGAGAGGCAGAGAGAGAAAGAGGTCTTCCATCCACTGGTTCACTCCCCAGTTGCCCGCAACGGCTGTAGCTACACCAATCTGAAGCCAGAAGTCAGGAGCTTTCTCCGGTTCTTCCTTATGGGTGCAAGGGCCCAAGCACTTGGGCCATCTTCTACTGCTTTCCCAGGCCATAGCAGAGAGCTGCATTGGAAGTAGGTTAGCCAGAACTTGAACCAGCACCCATATGGGATGCCTGCACTGCAGGTGGTGGCTTTACCTGATGTGCCACAGTGCTGGTCCTGGGTTATATTCTTATACAGGTTGAAAAATTGTAGAGTGGCTGGCACCTACAGTGCTGGCATCCCATATGGGTGCTGGTTCGAGTCCCAGCTGCTCCATTTCCAATCCAGCTCTCTGCTATGGCCTGGGAAAACAGTAGAAGATAGCCCGGGTCCTTGGGCCCCTGCACCTGTGTGGGAGACCCGGAAGAAGCTCCTGGCTCCTGGCTTCAGATTGGCACAGCTCTGGCTGTTGCAGCCAATTGGGGAATGAACCAGGGATGGAAGACCTCTCTCTCTCTCTGCCTCTCCTTCTCTGTGTAACTTTGACTTTCAAATAAATAAATAAATCTTAAAAAAACAAAAACAAAAACAAAAACAAAAAAAAACCACGAACCCAACTATTTGATCTAAAACCTGCTTCCCAGGAACTGCTTCATCAGGACGCTGGAGTTGGGAGCCAGAGCCAGGAATCAAACCCAGGCACTCTGATACGGGTTGTGAGCTTATTAACTGCTGTCTTAACCACAGGCTAAAGGCCGGCCTCCATGAGTTTTTTGACACTTCCTTTTATGTGAACTTTCTTTTGAGAAGCACCGTTCCCATCCATTGGTTCACTTCCCAAATGTCCACAATGCTCAGAACTGGGTCTGGACTGGGCCAGGCTGAAGCCTAGGAGCCAGGAACTCAATCCAGGTTTCCCACATGAGTGGCAGGAACCCAGTTACTTGAACCATCACAGTTACCCCTCAGGTTCTGCATTAGCAGAAACCTGGAATCAGGAACTGGAGCCAAGTATCAAACCCAGACCTTCCAGTGTGGCCATGAGTGTCCTAACAGGTAGCTTAACTGCTAGACCAAACACCAGCTCCCATGTTACCTTGCTTTCTTACATGGGGTTGCCTGAATGTTTTATGCTTTTGCTTATTTCCCCTTTTCTATTTAGAGCAATATGGGAAATGGGTAGTAAAATTTTATTGATATGGACCACTATTTAACATAGGGGCAGAATAGCTGGCTTTCTGATAAACTAAGTAATGCATTCCATTCTGACCAGGGCTCATTAAGTAGGCAGTGGCAGCATATCCCTGGTTGCTACCTTCTCTCCCTTCCTCCAGTAAGAGAAAAGGTTTTTTTCTTTTTATAGTTTTGTGGCAAGAAGGGTAGAAATAGTTTCGATCTAATTTAAATCACACTAAATGTTGCCTAACCAAAGTTCCTAAAGAATATGGTCAATTTCAGGGCTGATGCTGTGGCATAGTGGGTAAACCTGCCACTTTTAGTACCAGCATCCCATATGGGCGCTGGTTAGATTCCCAGCTGCTCCACTTCGATCCAGCTTTCTGGTATGGCCTGGGAAAACAGTAGAAGATGGCCCAAGTGCCTGCACAGGAGACCCAAAAGAAGCTCCTGGCTCCTGGCTTCAGATCAGCACAGCTCAGGTTGTTGCAGCCATCTGGGGAGTGAACCAGTGATGGAAAACTTCTTTGTCTCTCTGCCTCTACCTCTCTGTTACTGCCTTTCAAATAAATAAATATTAAAAATATATATGTAGTTAATTTTAAGAGTGATTTTATGTTTTTCTTACCATTTATTATTTGTTAAAATCAACACTAAAGTGCTTTATTCTTTGGAAGAAGTTCTGAGGGAGGGTCTGGCATTATGGCGTAGTGGGTTAAGCTGCCACCTGCAACACCAGCATTCCTTATGGGCACTGCTTCATCCTAGCTGCTCCACTTCCCATCCAGCTCCCTTCTGTTGTCCCTGGGAAAGCAGCTAAAGGTGGCCCAAGTGCTTGGGCTCCTGCACCCATGTGGGAGACCCAGAGGAAGCTCCTGGCTTTCACAAGGCCCATCCCTGGCCCCTGTGACCACATGAACCTGGTATAGAATATGAAGATCTCTCTCCCTGTCTCTCCCTCTGTTTCTGTAACTCTGCCTTTCAAGTAAATAAATATATCTTTGTTAAAAACATTCTCAAAGGAGCTGGCACTGTGGCACAGCAGGTTAAAGCCCTGGTCTGCAGTGCCAGCATTCCATACAGGTGCTGGTTCAAGTCCCGGCTACTCTACTTCCAATCCAGCTCTCTGCTATGGCCCGGGAAAGCAGTAGAAGATGGCCCAAGTGCTTGGGCCCCTGCACCCACATGGGAGACCCAGAAGAAGCTCCTGACTCCTAGCTTCAGATTGGCCCATTTTCAACTGTTGAGGTCATTTGGGGAGTGAACCAGCGAATGGAAGACCTCTCTCTCTCTCTCTCTCTGCCTCTGCCTCTCTGTAACTCTGCCTTTCAAATAATAAGTCTTTAAAAAAAATATTCCCAGGGATTTAAATTTTATCTTTAAAAAGAAGTTTTTGAAACTTATTTGAAAGGTGCACAGAGATCTTCCATCTGCTGATTCACTCCCTATATGGGTACAACACCCAAGACCAGGCCAGCTGAAGCCAGGAGCCAGGGACTCATGTGGGTCTCCCACATGGGTGGCAGGGCCCCAAGCACTTGAGCCATCACCTGCTGCCTCTGAAGATGTGCATCAGCAGGGAGCTGGGTGGGAAGTAGAAGAGCCAGGAATTGAACTAGGTGTGCTGATGGGGAATGTGAGCATCCCAAGCAGCAAATTAAGCACTGCCCCAAACACCTGCTCCTATATTTTTTTATTAAGTGGTGTGTATGTGTGTGTGAGTGTGTGTATGAAAATGTTCACTGTTGGAGGAGATATCTCAGCCTAGTCTCTCACAGATACCAAATTAGGATAATCTGGTAAATTTGGGACTCGAAATGGATTAACTCAGAAATACAAATGATGCAGGGTAAAACAAGTTTGTCTCAGGATTTTCATATGGACATATTAAGAAATGCATTTTATCTGAATCTGTTTGATAGGTTCTGTGCTTTTCAAACTTCTTCAAGTAGAAGGACCTCAAGGAATAGGTGGGGGAGGACAAAATTTCTAGAGGGAAGCTAAGAATGATTATGGGAATAACGTGAGGATAATGATAATGAGTCATGTTCTGTCGCTCTCCCTCTTCGTGGAGGAATGACACAGGACCCTGCGCTGTTCTTTTGTCTGCTCGGCCCTCCCCGGGTTTGCTGCTGGTTCTTCCCGCGTTGGCTACCGACCCTTCCACCTCCGTGGAAGGGCGGCTCCCCCTGCCACTTTCCCCACTTCCGCGGGGGAGCGGCACACCGCCCGCCGGCTCTCTCGGGGGCTGCTCAGATGTTCCTCAGGTGTTCCTGGTGCATGTTGTCTCTCTCCTCCTTTATAGTCCTCTTCCACCAATCCCAACTCTGCTACCCACACGCCAAGCACGCTGCTCTCCTCCAATCAGGAGCAGGATCAGCTCCTGCAGGTCATCACTCAAGTTGGCGAGAGGCAGCTGCATAGAAGTTGTTACTCCCTTCTCAGCGCCATATTGTGGGAGAGCAGATGCATAGAATAAGTCTTAACTCCAGTAACAGTCTAGTCCGAGTTGCTCCCCACAATGTTCCACTGAGGAGGTTGTGGAATGCCAAGTTTTAGAGATAAGAGTCTTGAGTATTTGCTTTTATTTGTGTTTTTAATGTGGAACTCATCAGTTACAACCTTTAAGCTGTGTTTGTGTTTTAATATTCACCTAGTCCGTGCTGTTGTGACAAAGCAGGTTAAGACTCCCCTTCCAATGCTGGCATCTTGTATCAGAGTGCTGGTTTGAGTTTCAGCTACTCATCTTCCTATCTAGCTTCCTGCTAATATGCCTGGGAAGACAAAGGATGATGTCTTAACTACTTGGGACTCTGCCACTCACGTGGGAGACTACAACAAACCTAGTGTTGTGGCCATTTGTTTGTTTTGAAGATTTATTTAGTTATTTCAAAGTTGAAGCTACAGAGAGTCTTCCATTCACTGGGTCACTCCCCAGATGGCTGCAACAGCTGGGGCTGGGCCAGCCAGCCTGAAGTCAGGAGCCAGGAGTTTCTTCCTGGTCTCCCATTTGGGTTGCAGAGGCCCAAAACTTGGATCATCTTCCACTGCTTTTCCTAGACCATTAGCAGTGAGCTGGATTGGAAGTGGAGCAGCCAAGAATCGAATTGGTGCCCATATGGGATGCCAGCATCATAGGTGGTATCTTTACCTACGCCATAACGCCAGCCCCTATGGCCATTTGGGAAGTGAATCAGCAGATAAACGATCTCTCTCTCCTCTCTCTCTTTCCCTCCCTCTCTGTCACTCTGCCTAAATAATAAAATCCACCAACTCTGCATAGATGGGTTGACAATAATGAAGTTTTAATATTTTTAATCCTTCTAGGTCTTAGCAAAATTGGCCTGTGGACTAAACAAGCCCAACCGCCAGACCTTGGTCTCACACAAGTTCGTCCCACAGCTCTTCAGTCAAGTGCCTATTCGCAAAGTGTAAGTGCTCAGGAGCACCTTAAATTTCACTCATATCTGTGAAAACACTCTGATTTTAGTTTGTTCATCAAGGATTGGAGCCGGGAAAAATAGGTGCCAGGAAATTCAGGGAGAGTTGGCAGGGAATTTTGAACAATGTGCTGAGGTTATTTTTCTCTGTGAATCTTCAGTTCTGGATTATCTGTGGCCGGTAGTTACCCCTGAATTTAAAACTGATGAACTGGGTTGTAGCTGTCCATTTCCCTTCCTCTGGATTTTATAGTCATGCCTGTTAAATAACAAGTAAATGGGAACTTTGCATTTTTTCTTTCCTTCAATATCAAATCAGGTTTTTCGGGCATCTGAATTGTCCCCGGACTGGTCATGAGAAAAGTCATATAAATGAATAACTAACTAGGTTGCCATGTGTCCTTGACAAGGGCTCATACTGTTGATGAAGAGACAAGATGTAATAGTGCAAAGCCACGTAGAAGTGCTATCAGGAGACTGCATATGAGAATTTGCTAAAGGAATTGTACGGTAGTTACCAAAGTTCACAAAAGAAGAGAGTTATTTGAGAAGCATTTATAAAAAAGGCATGAGATTTTGTTTTCGAGGTTCCGTAAAGCTTGGTGAGTCAAACAAGAAGAGTAAAGCAGTACTGATTTGGAGAATTTTATAGCACAAAGAGGGAAAGGATAAGATATTTTCAGTGAACTGGAACATAAATTAGTTTAGCTGGACCATATTGAGGAAGATAAGTAATGAAAGCAGACTGAAAAGATAAGTTAAAGATAGACTGTAGGGGCTTCAAAGGGCAGTCTGACGAATTTCTTCAGTCTGCAAGATTTTAGCCCTGCACGGGGCTTGTGTTTGGAATTTTAATCCTCCTATGGGAGAGTAGGTCTTGTACGATCATTAAGTTTTATATGTAGTCAACTTGATAGCTAATCAGTGACTTTAACCTTTTATTTGTGCTACTCTTAATCTTCCCAAATCCTAACTCCCAGAGTATCTGAATTCCTAGAATCCTTTAGTCTAATGCTGGAAAATTAAAAAGTATGTAGGACTAATATGCTCATTTCCCCTGAACTGAATTTGAGCTACATGGAGAAGCGGAATTTCTTGTTTGCTGCTAACAAGTAATTTATGATATGACCTTTAAATTCTCTGTCTCCTTTGTTATCAGCCGTAATCTCGGAGGAAAGCTTGGGTCCTCTGTCATTGCAATCCTAGGGATAGAGTACATGGGTGAACTGACACAGTTCACTGAATCCCAGCTCCAGTGGCATTTTGGGGAGAAGAATGGGTAAGTGATTCATATTATTTTTCGATCATAATATTTATTGGGATGCTGAGTCAAAATATAGACATCAAAACCTATCTTTAGGTTAATATTTATTCCTTGAAGAAATTTTACTGGTTCTTCTTGCTTTAAAATATTGATCATGGTATAGGTGTTAAACAGCTTGGAATGCCTGTATCCCATATCAGAGTGCTGGTTCAAGTCTTGGCTACTGAACTTCCAATCCAGCTTCCTGTTAATGTGCATCCTGGGAAGAAGCAGGTGATGGTCCAAGTACTTGGATTTCTTTCACCCACGTGGGAGACCCAAATGGCATTCTGGGCTCCTGGTTTGTCCTAGCCCAGCCCTGACTGTTGCAGATAGTTGGGGAGTGAACCAGCAGATAGAAAATCTCTTTGTTCTCTTATCTCTCCCTTTATCATTCTGCTTTTCAAATAAATGAATATTTAAAGCATGTATGTTAAATCATGGGGTAGGCATTTGGTGTTGCAGTTATGCCACTGCTTGAGACAGAGTGCCTGGTTCAAGTCCCAGTTATGCTTCTGATTCCAGCTTCCTGCTGGTATGCACTTTGGTGGCAGTGGATGACAGCCCAGGTACTTGGATCCCTGCCACCCATGTGGTAGATCACATCGAGATCCTGGCTCCTGTGTTTGGCCTGGCCTGCCCCATGCTTTTGGAGACATTTGAGGAATGAACCAGTGGATGGAAAATTCTCTCTCTTTCCCCCCCACTTTCTGTCTTTCTTTAAAAAAAAAAAAAAAAAAAGATTTATTTATTTGAAAGTTAGAGTTACACAGAGAGAGAAGAAGAGACACACAGAGAGAGAGGTCTTCCATCCACTGGTTCACTCCCCAATTGGCCACAATGGCCAGAGCTGGGCCAATCTGAAGCCAGGAGCCAGGAGCTTCTTTCAGGTCTCCCATGCAGGTGCAGGGGCCCAAGCACTTGGGCCACCTTCTACTGCTTTCCCAGGCCATAGCAGAGAGCTGGATCAGAATTGGAGCAACCGGGACTCGAACTGGTGCCCACATGGGATGCTAGCACTGCAGGCAGCGGCTTTACCCACTACGCCACAGTGCCGGCCCCTCCCTGTCTTTCAGAAAGAAAAAAATTAGATCATGATGGCCTATCAGTCGAGAGCAGTTTTCTCATATGCCTGGGTGTTTGATAGATAGGAATTGTTGCTTTGAAGTTTAGTATAGACTGCTAACGTCGTTTATGTGTGTGAGGATGCTGCTGTTCCCTTAAAACTCTGTGTTTGAAGCCATAGTACGCACAAAATTCTTGGAGCTATGAAGGAAGGGTTTGCTGGGCACTTTTCCTAAAGTACAAGTGATGACCGAGCTTTAGAAAGCAGAAACCGTCCTTGCCAGTTTGCACTGGTGTACACTGAGAAGCACAGGGGCTGGTCGGAGGTCAGGTGCACTGAAATCTGGGCACATTTTCCTTTTGTTTTATCTGTGGCAAATAGTTAATCCAGAATTTAAAAAATGATGAACTGGACTGTGCAGAAGGATAACATAAGTATTTTGCTTTTGTTTTAAAAAAAAAATAATCATTTACTTTCAGCTTAAAGGTTTTTGCTGTTCTTACTAGGTCTTGGCTATATGCCATGTGCCGCGGGATTGAACACGATCCAGTGAGGCCCAGGCAGATACCCAAAAGCGTTGGCTGTAGCAAGAACTTCCCTGGACAAACGGCTCTGGCCACCCCGGAACAGGTAAACAGGCATCCTGGATGGAACACTGCCTCTGTTAAAGAGCTTGCTGGGGAGGCTTTGGTCACTGCACAAAATTTAATATGTTGGATGGCATCCTCATTCTCTAATATGAAGGGAATAGAAGTTCCTTTTTTTATTTTAAGAGTTTTTATTTATTTGAAAGAGTTACAGAGAGAGAGAGAGGGAGAGACAAAAAAAGATCTTCCATCCATTGGTTTACTACCCAAATGGCTGCAACAGCCAGGTCTGGGCCAGGCTGAAGCCTGGAGCCAAAAGCTTCATCCAGTTCTCCCACATGGGCACATCTTCTGCTTGGCCATCTTCTGCTATGTTCACAGGTACATTAGCAGGGAGCTGGGTTGGAAGTGGAGCAGTCAGGATTTGAACTGGCATTCCTATGGGATGTCATAGCCAGTATCACAGGCAGTGACTTAACCTGCTGTAACCACGATGCTGGCTCAAAGAATTTCCTTTCTTGTGTTCAAAATTGACTGGTAAACTTGTTATTTATCATCTTTTTTCATTTCTTCCATCTAAATAGAAATACAGTGGAACTGACTGAAGTTCAAAATGGGATTTCTCACCTTTTTGAGAGGTGGAAACTTGAAAAGCTTGGGATGTTGTGCCTCAAGTTCTTTTCTATTTTCTCAAAACTAGAACATGCCTGAATCCACCTAATGGCATGCAAGCAAGAAAGGAAAATGTAAATCTTAAGCTGAGGCAGGACGGAATACTAGGAATATTTCTGTGATCTGTTGATCCCTTGGTTATGGGAGCAAAGAGGCCCTTTTGTGCACAATGGTTTAGAAGTGAACAAATCCACTGTCTAGTTCTATAACAGACCTAGAGTATTTGAATGAAAGATTAAAGTCTCAATATTTTTTCAGGTGCAATGGTGGCTTTTGCAGTTAGCCCGGGAACTAGAGGAGAGACTGACTAAAGACCAAACTGATGTAAGATTTTTATTCTTTATTTCTGGAATGGCTTTTGTGATCTTAACACCACCTGTTTCTTCCCTTACAGAGTAGGAACAGAGATGGAAAAAGCTATCGGCCTAGGAAATTTTAAGGAATATTTTATCTTCCTATACAGGTCCTCAAAACTCAAAAGATCTATGAAAACCTGAAACCATAAACATAAGACCTCACTCCACCCTGTCTCCATAATTACCATTTGCCCTCTACTTTTTTGGATTCTTATCTAACCCCTCCTGCAAACCTGAGTTATGTACAGTGGGCCCTTCATCAGAGTGCATAGCCATCGAGCAGAACATTGAGAGATTGCACTGTAGATTTTTGTTTGTTTGAAGAGAGAGAGCGAGAGCGAGCTGTCAGTCTTCCATCTGCGGGTTCACTCCCTAAATGTCTGCAGCAACTGGGGCTGGGCTAGGCTGAAATCAGGAGCTGGGAACTCCATCTGTGTGACCCAAGTGGGTGGCAGGGACTCAAGCATTTAAACCATTACCCATTGCCTCCAGTGGTGCACATTAGCAGGAAGCTGGATCAGAAGCAGAGGAGCTGAGACTCGGATCAATCACATCTGACAATTAAGTTTCTTAAGTTTTATTAATATATCCTTTACATACTATAAAATTTATACATTTAAAGTATATAGTTCAGAGCTTTTAGTATATTCTAAATTATTTTGTTATCAATTCTAGAACATTTTCATCACCTCAAGAAAAAATCTTGTACCTATTACCAGTCACTCCCCATATCTCCCCCAATCCACCCAGGAATCACTAATCTGCTGTGTTTTATGGACTTAATATTTGGAACATTTTCACATAAATGGGATCATATAATATGTGGCCTTTTGTGACAGGCTTAAAAACCTCTCACTTAGCATGCTTTCAAGTTCACCTATATAGTAGCATGCATCATTACTTGTCTTTTTATGGCTAAGTATTATCCATTGTATGGATAATAACACATTTTGTTTATGTATTCATATGTAAATGGACATTTGGGTTTCTTCTTGACTATATGAGTAGTGCTGCTGTATATAAGCTATTGTGTAGACATATGTCTACATTCTAGGAGTATAGTTGCATGCTAATTCTATGTTAAGCATTTTGAGAAACTGCTAGATTGTTTTCCACAGCGTCTATACCATTTCATGTCCCTACCAGCAGCATTAAGAGTTCTAATTGTCCCACATGCTTGTTACTTTTCATTTCTTCGCCACATTAGTGGGTGTGAAGCAGTATCTCCTTGTGGTTTTGGTTTGCATCTTACAGCTAATCAGCTTTTCATGGCCATTTGGGTATCTGGGGAGATATATCAGGATTTTTTGCCCTTTTTGAATTAGGTTGTCTGTTACTGTTTTTTGTTTGTTTGTTTTGAAGATTTATTTATTTGGGGGGGGCAGTGCTGTGGTGTAGCAAGTAAAGCCCCCACCTGCAGTGCTGGCAGTTCAAGTCCCAGCTGCTCCACTTCTGATCCAGCTCTCTGCTATGGCCTGGGAAAGCAGTAGAAGATGGCCCAGGTGCTTGGGACCCTGCACTGGCATAGGAGACCTGAAGAAGCTCCTGGCTCCTGGCTTCGGATCAGCCCAGCTCTGGCCGTTGCAGCCGTTTGGGGAGTGAACCAATGGAAAACTTCTCTCTCTCTCTCTCTGCCTCTGCATCTCTGTAACTCTGCCTTTCAAATGAATAAATAAATTTTTGAAAAGATTTATTCATTTGAAGGAGAGATTTTTCCATCCACTGGTTTACTCCTCAAATGTCCACAATGGCCAGAGCTGAGCCAGGCCGAAGCCAGGAGCCAGGAGTTTCATCTGTGTTTCCCACATGGGTGCAGGGGCCCAAGCACTTGGGTCATCCTCTGCTGCTTTCTCAGGCACATGAGCAGGAAGTTGGGTTGGAAGTGGAGCAGCTGGAACTCGAACCGATGCCCATGTGGGATGCCGGCATTGCAGGCAGTGGCTTGACCTGCTACTCCACAGTGCCAGCCCCTGTTGTCGAGTTTTAAGAGCTCTTTATCCTGTACACAATTTCTTTGTCAGATGTTGAGTTGCAAATATTTGTTCCCATTCTATGGATTTTCTTTGTTCACTGATGGTATTTGTTTGATGTAGCCTTTTCTTTTTGAAATATCTTGGAGTCCTAAAAGTCAACTATATACGGTTAGGAATAATCTAAAAGTATTTGTTTTCCTCTTTCAGCTAGAATTGGTGGTGAATGTTTTTATTCCTTTAATAGGTAGTCACGTAAAGAGGTTTTTGATTCCAACTTTGCCCACTAGGTGTCGCTTGGATCTCATCTGGCTATAATAAGCCTCCAGTTTTTCTTCAAGTGCGACACAGTGGGGATCTAAGAAAATTAATCTATCTTTAAGCTTCAAAGAACTTTATGCCAAAAGGAATTCAAAACATAGCAGATCTCCTCACTTCACTGTTTAAAACATTCCAGTGGCTTACCTGCGTACTTAAGCCAAGTTAAAGGTTTCATTTTTACATTTCTTTATGGGGCTGGCGCTGTGTTGCAGCAGGTTAAAGTCCCTTCCTGCAGTGCTGGCATCCCATATGGGCACCAGTTTGAGTCTTGGCTGTTCACCTCCCGATCTAGCTCTCTGCTATGGCCTGGAAAAGCAGTAGAAGATGGCCCAAGTGCTTGGGCCCCTGTACCCACATGGGAGACCCAGAAAAAGCTCCTGGCTCCTGGCTTTAGGTCAGTCCAGCTGCAACCATTGCTGTCATTTGGGGAGTGAACCAGCAGATGGAAGACCTCTGTGTGTGTGTGTGTGTCTCTCTCTCTCCCTCTCATTCTGCCTCTCTGTAACTCTGCCTTGAAAGAGTTACAGAGAGAGAGAGAGATCTTCTATCTGCTGGTTTACTCCCCAGATGGTCACAATGGCCATGGCACAACTGGGCCAAAGCCAGGAACTTCATTCAGGTCTCCCACATGGGTGGCAGGGGCCCAAACACTTGGGCCATCTTCCACTGCTTTTCTTAGGCCACTAACAGGAGCTGGATTGGAAGTGGAGCATCCGGGACTCAGATCAGCACCCATGCAGGATACCGGCATCGCAGGTGACAGCTTTACCTGGCACGCTGCAACACTGGCCCCAGGATTTCTTTAATTCTATGAACGTGATCAGTCTCTAGGCCTCTGACCTCGTGTCCTACCTTCCCCTCACTTCGTGCTCCAGCTCCTCTGTGCTGGCCTCCTTCCCTTTATTTGAACACCAGAGTAAGCTCTCGCGTTAGCACCTTTGCACTTGCTGCTCCTTTGCCCTGGGAATCGTTGCTTCCTCAGGTGGGCAGTCTGACACAGCAGATTAAGCCGCTGCTCACAATCCCATACGAGTGCCAGTGGAAGACCTGGCTGCTCCAATAGTGCTACTTCTTTGTTTTCTAAGATTTATTTATTTATTTGAAAGGCAGAATTATGGGGGTGGGGGCAGAGAGAAATTTTCCATCCACTGGTTCACGCCCAGATGGCTGCAGTGGCTGGAGCTGGGATGATCTGAAGCCAGGAGCTTCTTCTGGGTCTCCCACGTGGGTGCAGGGGCCCAAGGACTTTGGTCATCTTCCACTGCTTTCCCAAGTGCATTAACAGACAGCTGGATTGGAAATGGAGTAGCTGGGACTCGGACTGGCGCCCATATGGGATGCCAGCGCAGCAGGCAGAGGCTTTACCTGCTGTGCCACAGCACTGGACCCTGCTCTACTTCTTTTTCTTTTTCTTTTTTTTTTTTTTTTTTTAAGATTTTTATTTATTTGACCGGTGGAGTTACAGACAGTGAGAGAGAGAGAGAGAGAGACAGAAAGGTGTTCCTTTCATTGGTTCACTCCCCAAATGGCTGCAATGACCGGAACTGCGCCAATCTGAAGCCAGGAGCCAGGTACTTATCCTGGTCTCCCATGGGGTGCAGGGCCCAAGCACTTGGGCCATCCTCCACTGCTTTCCCAGGCCACAGCAGAGAGCTGGACTGGAAGAGGAGCAACCGGGACTAGAACTGGCACCTGTATGGGATGCCGGTGCCACAGGCGGAAGATTAACCTAGTGCGCCACAGGTGGTAGCCCCCTGCTCTGCTTCTGATCCAGTTTCCTGCTAATGCATCTAGGAAGGCAGTGAAGATAGTACTTGGTCCCTACCACCCATCTGGGAAACTAGGTTGGAGTTCTTGGCTCCAGGCCTCAGCTTGGCCCAACCCTGGCTGTTGGAGCTGTTTGGGGGAGTGAACCAGTAAATGAAAGATACCTCACCTTGACCATTGCTGGCAAGTGCCTTTGGAAGGCAGTTCTAGTGAGCGGTTTGGTCCTATACGCCAAGTGTGCTCCCTGTGTCTGTTTCCTGTGTTGCCGTATGATGGTTCCTCCACACATGCTTGGCTATTGCCAGCTTCCTCCAGGTACCAGGCAAATGGGGCTGCCTATCTTGAACTGTGAACCTCCAAACTAAGCCAAAATACACATTTGTGTTACTTGTTAAAAATAGAAAAAGATGTCTCTCTCCATTCCCTCTCCCTTCTCTCTTCCTCTCACTCTTCTTCCCTTTCTGTCATTCTGCCTTTCAAGTAAATAAATTACTTTTAAAAAAGATTTATTTATTAAAAATATTTATTTGAAAGGCAAAGTTACAGAGGCAGAGAGAGGGAGAGAAAAAGTTCTTCTGTCTGCTGGTTCACTCCCCAGATGGCCACACGGCCAGAGCTGTGCCCATCTGAAGCCAGGAACCAGGAGTTTCTTTCCGGTCTCCCATGCGGGTACAGGGGCCTAAGCACCTGAGCCATCTTCTACTGCTTCCCCAGGCCATAGTAGAGAGCTAGATTGGAAGTGGAGCTCCCGGGATTCAAACCGGCATCCATATGGGATGCTGGCACTATTAGGAAGTGGCTTTACCCACTATGCCACAGTGCTGGCTCCTGAATAAATAAATCTTTAAAAATAATTATTTTCATTCCTCCCTTTATTTAGGTGTGTGCTCACATCTCACCTTCTCTAAGAAGCCTTCCTAGTTACCCTGTCACATCAATAATATCCATCACTCTCTGCCTTACTCTGTTTTTTCAAAATCCCAGCATTCGTGTCTGTAGTCCTTTGTATTATCCACCTACTTGTTTATTACCCATGAGGTCCTGAACTGTCTAGAGGTACACAAGACACACTTAGAGTGGAGTGGTTTCAGTCAATAATAATTCCTTTGTAATTGCCAATTTGTGTTCTCTCAAGATATACAAATGTCTACAAATATGTTTACTCTCTCTCTTTCCCAAATAGTTGCTGCTTTCTACTCATTGGCCTTAGAGGTGTTTCTTCCCACGAGCATCTTTTGATTTTTGAGGGGAGCCCTCTGTAGACTTTTCACCTTGTATTTCTGCCTCCTGACTGTTTGAGTTGGCTGAGCAGCGGTGGTTTTCCGATGTTTGGCTTCACTGAAAACGGAGGCAAGGATCCTGCTCTCTAGAGGCTGTCAGTCCACTGTAGCTTCTGGAGCTGGGCTGTAAGGAGGAGGGACTGGGGCCGGTGTTAAGCAAGATGCCATCGTAACATCCCTCTTGAGCACTGGATTGAGTCCCGGCTGCTCTACTTGCAATCCAGCTCCCTGCTGATGTGCCAGGGAAAACAGCAGATGGCGGCCCAAGTACTCAGACTCCTGCAACCCACATGGGAGACCCAGAAGAAACTTCTGGCTCCTGGCTTTAGCCTGGCACAGCCCCAGCTGTTGTGGGCATTTGGGGAGTGACCCAATGGATAGAAGATCTTTTTGTCCCCTCTCTGTCCATAACTCTGCCTTTCAAATAAAGAAATAAAGGTTAAAAGAAAGGTACTAGTGAAAATTTCTACTGTTACAAAATGTAAGAATATCAGTTCCTTCATACCCAGAAGTAGCACAGACTCTTTTTGTAGAACCATGTAATCAAAATTTTATTCAGAAAATGTGATTCTATGGTATACATTCTGTACTGTTAGCATGTGTGGTGTATGAAAATAGGACATGCCTTTACATTCCTCTTGGTCCCTAACCTGTGCATAATATGTACTCAGTGTACATTTATAGTTTATGTAAGTAAATATTGGAATAAAGAGCCTTGTTCTTTACTTACTATTCTTTGTTCTTTACTTACTATTCTTTGTCCTGTATTGTCTTTTTTTTTTTTTTTTTTTTTAAGATTTATTTATTTTACTTGAAAGAGTTACACAGAGAGAAGGAGAGGCAGAGAGAGAGAGAGGTCTTCCATCCACTGGTTCATTCCCCAATTGGCTGCAACGGCCGGAGCTGTGGCAATCTAAAGCCAGGAGCCAGGAGCTCCTCTAGGTCTCCCACATGGGTGCAGGGGCCCAAGGGCTTGAGCCATCTTCTGCTGTTTTCCCAGGCCACAGCAGAGAGCTGGATAGGAAGTGGAGCAGCCGGGATTCGAACCAGCGCCCATGTGGGATGCTGGCACTGCAGGCGGCAGCTCCACCCGCTACGCCACAGCGCTGGCCCCCCTGTATTGTATTTTAAACTATTTCTGTTTTCCAAACTCTTCTGTTACCCTTGATCCTTTTATTTCCTCTCATGCAGTTCAGTATATGGAATACAGAGGCTTCTGCTAACTATTTCTGATCTCAGTCCTCTTCCACCCACAGAATGACAGGATGGCCACCCAGTTGGCTGTGAGCATTCGTGTACAAGGAGACAAACGTCTGAGCAGCCTGCGCCGCTGCTGTGCCATTACTCGCTATGATGCTCACAAGATGAGCCAGGATGCCTTTGCTGCCATCAGGAACTGTAATACTTCTGGACTCCAGACTGAATGGTGAGTGTTTTTCCTAGCTCTTCTTCTCAGAAGAAACTTAGGCCTCGTTTTAGCTCTAAAATTGGTGGGCATCTGAGCTCTTCAGCTGGGGGCACTCTTTATAAATCAGTCTAGCAGCACCTATTACGGAGGAGAGTGGCTATCCCTTGGTGCACATGTAGCAACCCCAGAATCAAGGCAGCTCAGCTGCGGCTTCCTTGCCTACAGTTAGTACATTTGAGCTCCCAGGTACAGGTGGTAGGCAGTGAACTGATACTGTCTCTGCCTGTATTCATTCCTATAGTCAGGGAAATGACCGATTGTACTTGGAAAATAGAAGTTTCAACATGACACTTGGGCACTTCTCTCTCAATGACTTTATTGTTCTGTTTTAAAAGCATCTTTCATAACTTATGAAAGTGACCTATTTTCATTGGTAATTTCCACCTAAACATTCCAACTTAGTTACAGGCTCCACTGGTATCATATAAGTGTCACTTCTGCTAGTTATAAAATACAGCCAAATACATGATAAAGCCTCTTTTTGAAGCATGTTCATTTTCTATCCAGATAATAATGGTTTTCAAGCGAATCACTTAAGTTATTGCTTATGTAAATATATCGGTACATTGTTCTGTGTGCAGACATATAATATGATGGGGTCACTGAAGTTAGAGTCTGTGTTCTTAGAATTTACTTTTACTTGCTGGTATATTTGTTTTCAGCAGTTTATTTTGAACAGTTTTACATAACCAGGTGATAACTGTGGTACTGTGTTCATATGAAACCTTCCTTACTTAAAAATGTATGAGTCAGGGCCAGCATTCTGGTACAGATGATTAAGCCATCGCCTGCATTGCTGATATCCTGTATGAGTGCTGGTTCAAGTCCTGGCTGCTCTACTTCCTATCCAGGTCCTTGCTAATGCTCCTGGGAAAGCAGAAGATGGCCTGAATACTTGGGCCCCTGTCAACCATGTGAGAGATTCAGATGGAGTTCCAGGCTCCTGGCTTTGGCCTGACCCAACACTGGGCATTAAAGGCATTTGGGGAGTGAACCAGCAGATGGGAGATCCCTCCATCTCTCCCTTTCTTTCTTTCTTTCTTTTTTTAAGATTTATTTTATTTATTTGAAAGAGTTACAGAGAGAGGTAGAGACAGAGAGAGAGGTCTTTCATCTGCTGGTTCACTCCCCAGATGGCTGCAACAGCCAGAACTGTGCTGATCCGAAGCCAGGAGCCAGGAGCTTCCTCCGGGTCTCCCACATAGGTGTAGGGGCCCAAGGACTTGGGCCATCTTCTACTGCTTTCCCAGGCCATAGCAGAGAGCTGGATCAGAAGAAGAGCAGCCAGGACTAGAACCAGTGCCCATATGCCAGCACTTCAGGCCAGGGCATTAACCTGCTGCACCACAGCGCCGACTCTCTGTCTCTCCCTTTCTATCTCTTTTTAGCTCAGCCTTTCAAACAAATATATAAATCTTTTTTTTAAAAAGATTTATTATTTGAAAGAGTTAAACAGAGAGAGGAGAGGTAGAGAGAGAGAGAGAGATCTTCCATCCATTGGTTCACTCCCCAATTGGCTGCTACAGCTGGAGCTGTGCAGATTTGAAGCCAAGAGGCAGGAGCTTCTTCCTGGGTGTAGAGCCCAGAGACTTGGGCCATCTTCTAATGCTGTCCCAGGCCATAACAGAGAGCTGGATCAGAAGTGGAGCGGCTGCTCCATATGGGATGCCAGTGCTTTAGGCCAGGGCGTTAACCCGCTGCGCCACAGCACCGGCCCCAATAAATCTTTTTTAAAAAATGGGTAAGTTGGGGCCAGTGCTGTGGCGTAAGTGCCGACATCCCATATGGTCTCTGGTTTGAGTCCCTGCTGCTCCACTTCTGATCCAGTTCCCTGCTAATAGCCTGGGAAAGCAGTAGAAGATGGCCCAAGTGCTTGGTCCCCTGCACCCATACAGGAGACCCGGAAGAAGAACCTGGCTCCTGGCTTCAGATCAGCCCAGCTCTGGCCATTGTGGCCACTTGGGAAATAAACCAGTGGATGGAAGATTTCTCAGTCTCTCTCTCCCTCTCCCTCTCTCTCTCTCTTTCTCTAACTCTACCTTTTGAATAAAATAAGTAAATCATTAAAAAAAAATCTATAAGTTACAAGCTATGAAAAATATTCCTCCCCAATAGGGTGAAATTTATTGACAGGGAAACATCAAAATTATCTGATTAAAGCGTGTCCCAAAGCATGAAACATGTACAGTGAAATGCTGTCATAATAACTTTATAATTCTAAATATTCTGTACTTCATTTTATTTTCTGAAATTCAGCTTATGTGAAAACTTATGATAATCAGACATGAACTTCATTATAGGTATTTTTTAAAAGATTTATTTGAAAGGCAGAATGACAGAGAGAGACAAAGAGCCATCTACTGGTTCACTCCCAAAATGGCCACAACAGCCAGGCCAAGCCAAAACCAGGAACCAAGAACTCCATTCTGTGATCTCCCACATGGATGGCAGTGGTCCAGGTCTTTAGGCCATTTTCCGCTACCTTCCCTTGCCCATCAGCAGGGAGCTGAATCGGAAGCGGAGCCCCCAGGACTTGAACCAGCACTGATGGGGGTTGCCAGCATTGCAAGCTGCAGCTTACCTGTTACGCCACAGTGCCTGCCCCAGTAACTTCTTGAAATGTTTCTGAGACCGAGATTGGGAAATTCCACAGTGGAAAGTCTGGCAGGGTTATTGTTAGGTTTCAAAACAAGAGAATAGTGAAAAGGATTTTCCCAAGTCTTCCCAGTCTAAATACTCTAAAACTTTTCGGTTGCCCTGAGTAACACTTCTTACTGCAACCTTGAATTCCCGCAGCCCTGCAGTGGTATCCTATAACACACAGCCGTCAGGGCGTGGGCAGTTACCAAGCCAGTGGTTCTCAGGGTGGCCCCAAAGCGGCCACGTCAGCATCACCCAAGGGATTGTTACAGCTTCAATTCTCTGTTCATTGCAAGTCTACTGACAGTCTGATACACACTGAAGTTTGAGATCTACTTCAGTAAAGAATAAATTTCCTGTTGTGGCAGAACCAGAATCATGTTCATTTTTAATTTGAATTTGACCTCCGCTCTGGAATAGTGAGTGGATCTTGTTCCTTTCCTTTGCATACAGGTCCCCCCCCCTCACAATGCTTCTCCTCTGTGCTACCAAATTCGCTGCCTCCACCCCAAAGGTGCCGAGCAGCAGTTCAGAAGCTAAGGCCCCGGGGAGCGGCCCAGTGGTGGCAGCCACTAAGAAAGCAACTACTTCTCTGGAATCATTCTTCCAAAAAGCTGCAGAAAAGCAGAAAGTCAAAGAAGCTTCATCCCTTACCACCACTGCCCAGGCCCACACAAGCAGTTCACCCTCCAAGCCCTCGTCAGCTCTCCAAACCAGTAGAACTGCAGGAGTGGAGCCCTTCTTTAAGCAGAAAAGCCTGCTTCTACAGCAGAAAGAGCTTCATTCTTCACCGTGTCTCCCGCCGCAAGATCCTCAGCCCGACTGTAGCGCGTTGCCTGCACAAGATCCACACCGTGCCCCTGCTTGTGAAGGGGCGTTGAAATTGGAACCTGCTGCAGCAGCTCCCGCGCAGAGGGATTTGGCTCAAAACAGCTCAAGCCTGCTCGCTGCCTCTGCTTCCACGTGTGCTCTGGACGCGGCTCCCGGAGGAAGTGCTGCCCCGAGTCTTCTCGCTGCTGAGGACCTAGTGTCCTGTGAGAAGTGCGGCTCCCTGGTGCTGGTGTGGGAGATGCCGGAACACCTCGACTATCATTTTGCACTGGAGCTACACGAATCCTTCTTGCAGGCACACTCCTCAAACCCCCAGGTTGTTCCCGTCAAGTCTCCTCAAGGCAAAAGAAATCCCAAGAGTCCTTTGGCTTCCAGTAATAAACGCCCCAGGCCTCAAGGCATGCGGACACTGGAATCATTTTTTAAACCATTAGCACACTAGTGCTGCCTTCGGGCTTGCTGTGGGATATTAATATTTTATCTGTAACCCTGGGATATGGACATACATTTACTTCTTAAGGAAATTTATAACGATGAAACTTTTAATACCAAATTAAGGTTTCCATCTCTTCACATGCACGAATTCTAATCCCATTGCTGGTAGAGATGTAAAAATGCTCCCTCCCTTTGACGTTTTTGGACTTTAGGGAGGTAATATCATACATTAAACAGTGTGTAGGCCTTTGAGCCTAAGAGACCTGCTTCCAAACCTAACTATACTGTATGGCCTTGAGCAAGACACCGTCTCTGCAAAGCCTAAGACCTTACAGATTACTGAAAATCAAAAATGATATAAAGTACCTCACTTAAACTTGGTATCCAGAAGGAACCCAGTTAAAAAACCTTTTAAAAAAAGATTTATTTATTTGAAAGGCAGAGTGACAGGGCGATCTTCCATCTGTTTACTCCCCAAATGGCCATAATGGCTGGGGCTGGGCCTGGGCCTGGGCCAGACCGAAGCCAGGAGCCTGGAACTCCATCCAACTCTCCCATGTGGATGGCAGGGGCCCAAGTATTGGGGCCATCTTCTGCTGCTTTCCCAGGCACATTAGCAGGGAACTAGACCAGATGTGGAGCAGCTAGGACTCCAACTAGTGCTCCAGTATGGGATGCCTATGTTGCAGGTGGCAGCTTAACCCATTGTACCACCATGCCATCCCAAAAGAAATTTTTAAAAAATTTTCTCCTAGCTCTGTGACAGAGCAGTTCGGATAATGCCTTGAGCACAATTGTTTCTTCAGTTGGGGAATATGAGGTGAAACCTGGAAACCCGCAGAGTGACAACGTAGCTGGGTCAGGGCAGGGCTCTGCATGCAAAAGCTACACACTAAATATTGCATCTCATAGAAGTAAACCCTCTAACAGCCTCAGTTGTAATCACTGGCCCTTCTGCATTTTACTCTAATGTAGATTGTGATTGCTACTGGGCCAGTTCAAGTCTGTTGAGATTGGACCCAGTCATGGTCAGAACTAGATCACCTCTAGAACCGTGCTAGTCCAGCTCGAGTGGCAGCAGCACGAGGGGACTTGCTGGAAACGGTCTCCGCCTCACCACCACGCCTGCTCGGTCAGAATCTGATACGAACAAGACTCCCTGTATCTTTTTCAGTTTCACAAGCACTGGTCTACAGGATACCAAAGGTCAGGTTTGTGGAAAACAGTAACATTTGTAGTACAAACTCGAGGGAAGTGCTTGGGAGGCGCTCTGGCATGTTCACCTCTCTCCTGTTAAAGTATGAATTGAGAGTTTTATATTCGTGATTGTAGCCTTTTGTACTTGTTCCATGTTTGTAGGATTTTTAATCTCCATTCTGTGTGGGAAGTCACTTTTGGCTTTTCTGATAGAGGGAACCTTGAATTCCTTGTGTAACCCTCCTGGAGAACTGAGCTAGGTGGTAACTGGTTAAATGTGTCAGGAAAATGCTGTTCATGTCCTTTCTGTATATGTGTGTGAACCAGCCTCTGAGCTTTTTTAAATGGGGGACATTTCATGTAAAGAAGGGAGGAAGCCACTAGGAGCAGCGGGAAATCAGTTTTCAAAGATATTTGTCATTGTTATGGCACTGAATACAGACAGTGATTCACTGTGTATTTGTCTTTCCCCTACTAGACTTGTAGCTTCTTAAAAGCAAGAATTCCTAACAATGCCTTGCATATAATAATGTTTTATATTCCATAGATAAATATGTAGTGACATTCTAGATGTGATTATTAGAATTGGGGTAATAAAAATGTATAAACTCCTCAGGGGCCAGCCTTACATATCCTCCTATTCCCTGAGTGTTCTGGCTGAGCCAGAGAGGCAGGGCGGCTCGCACTTTAATGCTCTCGGGACAGAATGTCACATCACACCTTGGGCCACATTTGTCATTGTCTTTTTTTTTTTTTTTTTTTTTTGACAGGCAGAGTGGACAGTGAGAGAGAGAGACAGAGAGAAAGGTCTTCCTTTGCCGTTGGTTCACCCTCCAGTGGCCGGCGCACCGCGCTGATCCGAAGGCAGGAGCCAGGTGCTTCTCCTGGTCTCCCATGGGGTGCAGGGCCAAGCACCTGGGCCATCCTCCACTGTACTCCCTGGCCACAGCAGAGAGCTGGCCTGGAAGAGGGGCAACCGGGACAGAATCCGGCCCCCCACCGGGACTAGAACCCGGTGTGCTGGTGCCGCAAGGCGGAGGATTAGCCTAGTGAGCTGCGGCACTGGCCTTGTCATTGTCTTTTACTAGGGTCAGTGCTCAAAATACGTCTTTTTTTTTTTTTTTTTTTTTTTTTGCAGATGACTTTTTTTTTTTATTTGAAAGGGATCTTCCATCTGCTGGTTCACATCCCAAATGTGAACCTAGAACTCCTTCAGGGTCTCCTGCATGGCAGGGTTCCCAAGCACTTGGGCCGTCTGCTGCTGCCTTCCCAGGTACGTTGGCAGGGAGCTTGATTGGAAGCAGAGCACTGGAACTCAAACCAGTGCTCGGGCATGGCATGCCGGTGTCACAGGCCACAGCTTAGCTCACCGCACCAGAATGCCAGCCCCTTGACTTCAGCTTTGAGCCTTATTTTTGTACTTCTAAAATGAGGGACTATGGTTTGGCCAGGCTAAGGACATAGCTATATAAACCTGAAAATTGTACTCCAAGTAGCTGGCAGAGCACAGAGGAAGAGTACTCTCTACTGCCGAAACCTCTTGCAAGCAGCCAATTCCCCGAGTCCACAGAGCTACCTACTCAAGCTGTTTTCAGTTTCACTTTCTACTCAGAGACCTGCGTAACAGGCCAGAACACTTGCTGCCACACTGGAACCCGGATCCTCTGTGGGGCAGATGAGCGAAGAATGGGAAATGGGATCCCATGTGGGTTCTTTCCTACCCAGGGCTCAGTGGTGTTAGGGTTCCACTCATCTCTGGAGAGAAGTCTAGCTCGCTCTCTTTTTTTTTTTTTTTTTTGACAGGCAGAGTGGACAGTGAGATAGAGACAGAGAGAAAGGTCTTCCTTTTGCCGTTGGTTCACGCTCCAGTGGCTGCTGCAGCCGGCGCATCGCGCTGATCCAATGGCAGGAGCCAGGTGCTTCTCCTGGTCTCCCATGGGGTGCAGGACCCAAGCACCTGGGCCATCCTCCACTCCTGGGCCACAGCAGAGAGCTGGACTGGAAGAGGGGCAACCGGGACAGAATCCGGTGCCCCGACCGGGACTAGAACCCGGTGTGCCAGCGCCGCAAGGCGGAGGATTAGCCTACTGAGCCGCAGCGACGGCCAGAAGTCTAGCTCCCTAAAGTGGAGTCTGGGTCCTAAACACAAGTACAGTGTATTCAATAAAACATTTTTATTCTGTACAATATATATGTGTATTTAAATATATATATACATATGTGTGTGTGTGTGTGTGCAGAGAAACCTCAACCAACAAATCCCTGAGTCCACGGGAACCCAGGAAGCTAACCTAGGGCAAGGCAGGAGTCCATGCCTAAAGAGTGGCAGGATGGCAACATCCTTCCCTTTCCTCCTGGTTCCCTGCAACAGAGGGAAGGGGATGATTGCTACCACTTCCGGAAACAAGGGCTTCTGAGGGCACAGCACGGGGCCTGCGGGCCAGTCCCCAGCCAGCAGCTGGGGAAGGGAAACACTCTCCGACCCAGCACGAAGGCCAGCAGAGGAGTGCAGCTGGTCTCCGGTGTGCCAGGCCTGAGCTTGGCAGCCCCACGCCGGGGCCAGCACAACAAATAGCACCTGTGGGGCCTGTGAGAGGAGGAACTGGGGAAATGGCCCTTGAGTGAAGAAGGGGAGGAGGATAAAGCTGAGGGGCAGGCCTTGGCCTCCGCACGGGAGGCGAGCACTGCCATTCACTGTCTGTGCCGTTTCTTCAGACCCTGGGTCGTGAGACGAGAGCAGATGTCTTTGTCCGCAGTCGGTCAGTGGTGGGCAACTTAGATGGCCTTGAGAAGAGGTATAGAAAATGGAGTGCTTTCGAGGGCCATCCCAGTTTGTGACAATTCCTGAAGTGCAGAGACGACACTGGCGAATCTCGCCTAGTCCCGGTAGGAGGGCCGAGGCGGCTGCTCAGCTCCCGCCAGTAGCCAGGCCACAGGGTTGCCAGGTTGTGAGTCACCGAGGTGGGCACACAGCTTCGGGGCACTGCCCTGACTTGTGTCTTCTCCCTCAGGACTCCTTTCTGGCCACACCAAGCTTGGCACCTCTCCAGAAAGGGCTGGGGGCAAGTGGCAGAGAGCACCCCGTCTCCCTAGCCTATTAACACACAGAGCCGCCAGCCACGGGCAGCATGGCCAGAGTCACCTTATGTATTGTCAGGACAGCAGGAGAGCTGTCGCGCCTGGAGGTCTCAGAAGCCCATGTTGGCCTGAGCTTCTCCCGCTGCGATGGCTTGCACGTCAGTGACGTGGCCGATGCCCTTGGTGACACCCTCGCGGAACAGCAGCTTGGCGCCCACCTTCAGGTACTCCGGGTGTTTCAGGAAGCGGAAACGCACCACTGCCTTCTCCCCGGTCCGCAGCTTGTCCTGCAGCAGACAAGCGCTCACTGCCCTGGCCACCACCTCCCGTCCCACAGCCTCGGCTCCCCGGCCCGCCAGGTGAGCGGTCTTCCCTCCGTGGGGCCAGGCCGCGCTCCTCTCCGGAGGCAGGAGGGGGATGACTTTTCCCTGGAGAAACGGGGGCACTGACAGCCGGGCCCCGCTCACCTTGGCGTGGATCTTCTCCACCACGGCCGTCTGGCGGACGTTGCCCACGTGTACCGTCACCTGGAACCCCCGGCGGAAGGTGGTGGCATGGAACAGGAGGACGATCTCTGCCTCGAACACTGAGCAGATGGTGGGATTCATCTCGGGGCTCACCATCACCATGCCCTGAGGAGGCAGAGCCCCCAGCCCCGGGCGGGGTGGGGAGCAGGGCGCACGTTAGGCCCTTCCCCCCCAGCTACTACACCCCCTACAGCTGCATTTCCTGTCCTCTGGGACTCCAGACACAAAGGCCAGAACCCTTCTGTGGCCACCTCCCACGTCCTCTCGCCCTCTCAGGCCGTGTCTGGCGTCCTGGGCGCTAAGGCGTGCACTGCTTCCTGTTGAGCACCGTGCTCCTCCCAAGCACGCTAAGTTGCTTCCATGCAGTCTAATGAGCATGCAGACCAGGTCTCCTTTGGGTTTCGCTGAAGCGGCGGGCGGTTCCTCAAGCGGCAGCCAGCGTGCTAGACACTTCCCTTTCGTTTGCTCTCCGGCCCACCCGGCCACCCGTCTCACCTTGCGCAGCAGCGCGCGGTCGAAGTCCCCGAGGGCCAAGGTTGCGGCCTGGCCGGCTCGCAGCACGCGGCAGGCGGAACGGTTGCGCTGGATGCTGCACACTCTCAGCTCCAGGAAGCAGCCGTCATCCGTGGGGCCCACGACCAGCTGGTCCCCCTCACGGCAAATCCCACTGCAGTCCAGAGGGCAGGTGGCATGGCGTCAGCCCGGCTCCCTGCCCCCACCTTCTACTCCTCAGAGCGCGCCTTCCCTTTCGGGGTGGAGTCCCTCAAGTGGAGGTAAGGGGGGGTGGCTCCTGGCCCCGGCCCAGAGGTCAGACTCTGGAGGCTACAGCCACAGAAGGCCAGCAGCTGCGGCAGGCGCAGGCACCTGCTGGTTTGACAACGCCGGATGCTTGATCCCTGAGGGAGCAAAATCTCCCCCTTGGGGTTCATCCTCTCTCGGGCGGAGTCTCGAGGGCCCTCTCCTTCCCCCACTTGGAGGTGCGATCACAGATGAACACACTCTGGTTTCTTCCCGGGGGCCAGGTCCCATACTGTCCCCCAGGGGAAAGCCGGGACACTGTCTCCCGCCGTGAGCCAACACGCTAGCGTCCCGCGCTCCTCTGGGAGGGAAGGCCTAATCTGCAGCCAGGCACATGCTTCGGATGGGCTCTGTGCAATGCCAGGGTCTCGTCCTGCGGGTCACGATGCCGCGCAGAAGGGCGGGTAGCAAGCAAAGCCATTCACCTGGAAAGTGTCCCTCCAACAACCGTCCCCACCTCCGGCACTGTGTAGATTTCATCCACCTGAAGCCAAAGAAATCGCCATCAGTGGCCCGCCCAGGAGGGCCTCGTCGCGGAGCCTGGGTGCTCCCCGCCCCGCAGCAGCCGCCTACCTGGAATTCTGTCAGCTGCTGCATGAGCTCCTCCTGCTCCTTGCTGTTGGTGAGAGGCGGGAGGATATTCAGGAAGACTTTGAGGAGGTCCAGACTCTCTCCAGACACGCTGGACAGCGTGAAGATAGGGGTGACGCTGCAGAGGGAGCCAGGCACGGCCACGTGAGGAAACCCGCCCGGGACACGGAGGCCGGGGGAGCTTTCACCTGGGCAGCTGGGACCCCCGCTCACACCCCTGCTAATGGCTCAGGAGCTCGTACTGCGTGAAGCCCACCCCCAAGCCCAGGGAAGACAGGGAACGCTGCCCTTCATCCCCAGGGCTCGGCGCACCAGCAGAGACTCCCACAATGCCAAGTTGAAGGGCTCCCAGAACTGGTCTGGCCCTGGAGCCCCGAGGACCGCAGCTGTCGAGGGAGGCGAGCTTACTTGGGTGACTGCGCAAACTGCTGAGCAGCGGTGACAGCGTCGTCCTCGGAGGTGACCAGCATGGGGACCTTGTGGCAGCCCGGCTGCTTGAGGACTCGCTCCAGCTGGCGGACCGTCCTCTCCACTGTGGTCTTGGCACACAGGTCCACCTTGCTGACCACCACGAAGAAGGGCACTTTCAGGGCCAGGGCCAGCCCCAGATGTTCCCT